GTCCATATTGGTTTCAAGAATGTTGCCTGGACATGCCAAACCTCTTGCTCGAAGGTTCTTTTCTCCGCGGCTGCGGCTGTGTGAAATCCTTCAAAGGAGCCCCAGGCATTTTCTCAAGAGCTGTACAAAGCTGGGTCTTCTTCCTCTAACCCAAACAGAGTCAAATGAATTGGACAAGCATTGTGGAGTGCCCAGAACACAGAATGTGGCCTTTTGCTAAGGCTTTTTCTGCACTGTACTGTGGTACCTCAGGTTACATATGCTTCAGGTTACATACGCTTCAGGTTACATACTCTTCAGGTTACAGACTCCGCCAACCCAGAAATAGTGCTTCAGGTTAAGAACTTTGCTTCAGGATAAGAACAGAAATCGTGCTCTGGCGGCGCGGCGGCAGCAGGAGGCCCCATTAGCTAAAGTGGTGCTTCAGGTTAAGAACAGTTTCAGGTTAAGAACAGACCTCCGGAACGAATTACCGGTAAGCGCTTAACCCGAGGTACCACTGTACATATAAAACACCTTCACACCACTTTCAACCGTCGTGGCTTCCCAGCAAAAGATCCTGGAAACTGTAGTTCGTAAAGGGTGTTGAAAGTTGTTAGGAGGACCTCCTTCCCCCTGTCCCACTATTCCCCTCACAGAGCTGCAGTCCCAGAGTTACTGCGTATGGTGTCTCCGAAAAAATTTCACATCACTTGGGAAGACAGGCGAACTAAAGCCAGTGTACTGGAAGAAGCAAAGATCACCAGTGTCAAAGCAAAGATTCTTCAACACCAACTTTGTTGGACTGGTCATGTTGTGCGGATGCCTGATGATCGTCTTCCAAAGCAACCCTCTCTTCTGAACTTAGAAATGGAAAGCGTAATGCTGGTGGTCAACAAAAGAGTTAAACCTGTCTCAAGGCAAATTTTTAAAAATTGATATAAACAACAACAACTGGGAAACATTGGCCTGCGAGCGCTCCAGTTGGAGAACAGCCTTTACCAAAGGTGTCATGGGCTTTGAAGACATTCGAACTCAGGACACAAGGGAGAAACGTGCTAAGAGGAAGGCACGCTTGGCAAATCCACACCGTAATCAACTCCTGCCCGGAAACCTATGTCCCCACTGTGGAAGGACGTGCGGATCCAGAATTGGCCTCTATGGCCACTTACGGACCCACTGTTAAAACCATGTTTATGGAAGACAATCTTACTAGGCTACGAGGGACCGCCAAAGAAGAAGAATTAATATTGCATTGCATGAAGCTACTGGACGCATAAAAGCTGGCTCCTTTTGGAGTAAAAGTTGTCCAACTCCATCATGATGATTCAAAGCTTTACTAACCACAACCTGTTCAGAACAGGTACAAAATCATCCTGATACACTGAGATAATTCCACAAAGCATGTGCTTATATAAGCACAGGTTCTTCTTCTTAAATATATGACATCATTATGGGCAGCTGAATCTTACTTCAATGCTGCTGATGGGATGGTATCCTGCCCCACACCCGAGACTGCAGGCCAAGTTTGGGGTTCCAGAAGAGGCCATGTGGCACCATAGGAGGGTGGCTGGGGGTTAGGAAGACAGGGGGCGCTGTTCTTGCATATCTGCCGTCTGAGGCCATTACTTCACTCTGCCTAGGGCTGCTCCTGGCCAAAGGTAAAGGTAAAGGGACCCCTGACCATTAGGTCCAGTCGCGGATGACCCTGGGGTTGCGGCGCTCATCTCGCTTTATTGGCCGAGGGAGCCGGCGTACAGCTTCCGGGTCACGTGGCCAGCATGACTAAGCCACTTCTGGTGAACCAGAGCAGCGCATGGAAACACCGTTTACCTTCCCGCCAGAGCGGTACCTATTTATCTACTTGCACTTTGGTGTGCTTTCGAACTGCTAGGTTGGCGGGAGCTGGGACCGAGCGACGGGAGCTCACCCCGTCACGGGGATTCGAATCCCCGACCTTCTGATCAGCAAGTCCTAGGCTCTGTAGTTTAACCCACAGCACCACCCACATCCCTCCTGACCAAAGGACCCAATGCCAAAAGATTTAAGTGTGTGGAACAGAAGCCACTTGTACCGCACTGTTTCAACAACCAGAGAACATCCAAAACGCCCCGCAAAGGCAGCCCAAATGTGGACCGTCTTCTGTTGTTCTCAAGAGCTCTGGAGCCAGCCCCTGAAGATAGTGGATTTCTTCCTTTTTCTCCTCCCCCTACTACCGCAATAAATCTGCTTGCTTGCTTTAAGCACCTCCCAGTCTTATTTAATTTAAAGCTCAAGCCACACAGCTAATAATAGCCGCCCGGCAAAGAGTGATGCCCTTCCATGCTGCGTTCGGCGGGATTACGGATAAGACGACTCAAGGAATGTGTCGAAGTGTTTGTGACATTCCATGGGATCCTCTTTGCCTTTCTGAAAAGGGGGAATCTCTTCTGTTGGGAAATGGATCCTAGGCAAGCACAATCACTGGATCGCTTTAGACCCCTGCTGAAAACCTTTTCGTTTCAGTAGCTCTCTCGAGTCCAGGCTCGTGGTTTAGTTTCTTACATTTCTTTTGCAAAGCTTTGGTTGGTTTTATTTTTGCTTTTTAGTTACGACGATGTTGTGCATATTAGTTTTTAATTGGTTTGTTTCTTTTAACTGGGTTTTTATCTATGTTTTTATTCGCACCCTCTTTGGAGAACTGTGTGATCAAGCAGCTTACAGATTTTCTAAATAAAATAAGCCCCATTAGCTAAAGTGGTGCTTCAGGTTAAGAACTGTTTCGGGTTAAGAACAGACCTCCGGAACAAATTAAGTACTTAACCCGAGGTACCACTGTACTTATCCTAGCATGTCACAAATCCTCAGGGCAACAGGTTTGCAAAACAGTGTCAGTGACTGCTTCTTCTTTGGAGGCAACCCAAAATGTTGGTAAGGGAATGGGTGTGGGATGTGATATATATATATATATATAGCAGTCAAGTACAACATTCCTTGTTTTCCTAGAGTGGACTTGCAAGGGGATGTTTGCTCCAGCCAGTCAGAACTTCCTGTTTCCTCCTGAGCTGGGACATACTTCCTCTTGCATGTGACTAGAGGTGGGCGTGACCTTACCTGTTCAGGTAACAAAAAGGACAAAGCACGCAGCTATCTCTCTCTCTTCCACTTCCTCCTTCGTAGGACCAGCAGTTTTATCATAATAATAAATTTTATTTATACCCTGCCCTTCCAGGTTTAAAAACCGGGCTCAGGGCGGCTAACAGCAAATTTAAAACACTGGTTAAAATGCGACTTAAAAACAGCATTAAAATACAACATAAATGCAGCATCAGTGTCAATATAATTCAAAAATTCAGAGGTCATGTTGGAGGGGTGACTCCAGGGCTAACTGGCCAAGTTGGTCCTACTAGGGCCAGCAAGGAGACCAGGGAAGAGTTTAGATGTGGGGTCCCAGAAGGGTTTATTCATAGAAAAGGAAAGGGAAAAGGGGATAGAGGATCAGGCTAATTCAAATTGAAGGCCAGGTGGAATAGCTCTGTCTTATAGGCCCTGCGGAAAGAGATTAAGTCCTGCAGGGCCCTCGTCTCGTGGGACAGAGCATTCCACCAGGTCGGAGCCATCACTGAAAAGGCCCTGGCCCTGGTGAGGATAGTATGGCTTCTTTGGGGCCTGGGACCTTTAAGCTATTATTATTCATGGACCTCAGGGTCCTCTGTGGGACATACCAGGAGAGGCGGTCCCATAAGTACAAGGGTCCTTTGTTTAGCTAGAGATGCTCTGTTGGCTTCCAGCCAACAGAGGACAAAGGGACTATCTCCATATGGGATAGATTCCACATGTCTATACTTCTGTAACTAAGTCTGCCTTCAGGGATCCATCTGTGAACTGAATGTGTGAGTAAACCTCTTTTACTGACTTTAAATAAGATTGCCATGTGCTTATTCTTTTAAGAGGGATATAAGGAACCTAATCGGGATGCGGGTGGCGCTGTGGGTTAAACCACAGAGCCTAGGACTTGCCGATCAGAAGGTCGGCGGTTCAAATCCCCGCAACGGGGTGAGCTCCCGTTGCTCGGTCCCTGCTCCTGCCAACCTAGCAGTTCGAAAGCACATCAAAGTGCAAGTAGATCAATAGGTACCGCTCTGATGGGAAGGTAAACAACGTTTCCGTGCACTGCTCTGGTTCACCAGAAGTGGCTTAGTCATGCTGGCCACATGACCCGGAAGCTGTACACCGGCTCCCTCGGCCAATAAAGTGAGATGAGCGCCGCAACCCCAGAGTTGGCCGCGACTGGACCTAATGGTCAGGGGCCCCTTTACCCTTTTACCAGGAACCTAATATTAAGAGGCTGAAACAAGCTCGCAACCAGCTACCTGCCGTGCGTTTAAAGGGGAATGTTAAAACTCTGCTAAGTTATAGAACTTGCTAGTGCAAGTTAGGAAGGATATTATTAAACTGTATATCCTCTCCTGCTTCCCTGAACATTCCCACAATGGGAAGGACGGCTTATAAAAGAATGGAAATGGTTTATTGAATATTGACTGATAAGTTGTAAACAGATAAGAACTATGGCAGGACTATTGTAATAACCTGCAGTTTTATAAGAGTACAGTGGTACCTCGGTTTACGAACTTAATCTGTTCCAGAAGTCTGTTCTTAAACCAAAACCATTTTTAATCCGAGGCGTGCTTTCCCTAATGAGACCTTCCGCCACCTCTGCCCTTCCACTGTTCGGATTCTGTTCTTAGACCAAGGTAAAGTTCTCAAACGAAGACACTATTCCCGGTTTTGCGGCGTTTGCAAACCAAACCGTTCTTAAACCGGACTGTTCTTAAACCGAGGTACCCCTGTATATATTTAAAGTAGATAAATAAATGAACAAATGAAGTTAATTTGGATATGCAGAAGATATTAAAAATTAAGGAATCGCAGAAAGAGGGGGAAGGAAGTCAAGTTTTGAAACATTAAAATGATTGTAAAAATTAATGAAATGTATAAAACTGAAAAGCATAAATATTTTATTTTTATTTATTTTTTTAAACGTGGGCAAGGGAATGGGAAGGGCGGCTTCCTTGTTTCAAATGAAAGAAAGGTGCTTATCCTCTGGGACGCCGTACTTCAACTTGTGCTCTTCAAAGAGCTTGCAGAGTTCCTCCATGTAGACCTCGTGCAACTTGTCCACCTCCTCTTGGCTGGGGTTGGGGCGCTTCTCAACTTGGATGGGTTTTCCAACTGCGGGCGAGTGGGGAGGGAAAGACAGCAAAGAGTGGTTAAGAAAACTCAGGCGATAAGGTAAAAAAGGAATGGGGTTGCTTTAAAAACTACCTGACAAAATATGGTTCCAAAAATAATACTGGGTTGTGGTTAGATTAATTTCACTGATATAATGGGGGGAAACGGATACTATTAAATGAATGCAGAATATTTGTCACTTAAGAGAAGTGTTGAAGCCGCAAAGAGATAGAGGGAAATCAACTAATATAATAATAATAATAATAATAATAATAATAATTTATTTACACCTCGCCCTTCCCGGTTCAAAAACTGGGCTCAGGGCGGCTAACAACAAATTTAAAACACTTAATTATAAAAGCAGCATAAAATACAGTATAAAAACATGAATAACAATAAAAATCAAAAATCAAAAATCAATTAGATAAGGCTAGCTGGCTGAATTGGTCCTAGCTGGGCCAGCGAGGAGGCCAGGGGAGAATTAGCTGTGGGGTCTCAGAGCGGGTTATCTTCATAAAAGGGGAACGGGAGGGAAGAGAAGGGAAATAAAAGATCAGGCTGAATTCAAATAATATAGCAGGGATTCAGACTACTTTTCTGGATCAGAAAGAAAGTGACTGGAAAGAAAGAAAGAAAGAAAAAAGGAAGGAAGGAAGGAAGGAAGGAAGGAAGGAAGGAAGGAAAGAAGGAAGGAAGGAAAGAAAGAAAAGGAGGATTACAAATGTATTTCTTTCGTAGAACCTGGCGTATAGAATATTCGAAGTACTGTTTGTATCCTGTGAACGATTTTGTGCACTTGACTAATTATTTTTCGTGTTTTATTATTTATCATTTTTCTTTTTTTCTTTTCCTTTCTTTCTTCTCCTCTCTTTTCTTTTTATTTTCTTTTTATATATTTTCCTTTTATGTATTTCTTCTTTCTATTTTTGAATATTTGGATGTAATGTTTAATTTATACTTTTTGGTATTTTTATTTAAATGCAATAAAGATAATCAGCCAGAGCTGTTGAGCTTTTTTGAGGGGAGGATGAGCCAAAGTTGTCTGGGTTTGGGGCTTGGCCCCAGGAAGTGGCGCAGCTGGGAATCCAGCAAAGACTTGCCTGCCTTCCCTCTGAAAGGCTGTGCTAATTGTGTTTGTCAGACAACAATGGGCTAACGCGGTTTCCGACCAACATCCCATTAAGTGTCTCCTCCACTGCAGAGGTTGGCGAAAGTCCGTCTAACCACGGAGAAGGTCCAAACAAGCTGTCAAACAATTATGGGCAACCACTGCCTGTCAAATCCTATCAGAGAGGATGGTGTTACCTGTACAAAACTGTCTTTTTGAATTAACCTGATGTTATTGTGGCCGGCTCCGGCGATAATTACCGCGCCACGGTGAATTCAGTCCTAGAAACGTTCTCTCGGTGTTTAGCATCAGGCAGGAGAATCATTACTAGTATTAAACGAGCTTGTGCTTGGTTGCAGAAGTAGGATCCCCAATTGTTGGAGAACATAGCTGTCAACCGTCCCTTATTTGGCAGGAAACTCCCTTATCCCAGCGCCGTGTCCCGCTGCTGTCCCTTATTGATGATGTCCCTTAAATTTCCCGGGTTTCAAAGAAAGCAGCTCCTCTCCCTCCCTCCCTGCCGGCCAGGGAGGAGGGAGGCTCCAACTGTGTTGCTTGGCTGCGTTGCTCACCCAATAAGAAGTCTAAGAACGACTGGGGGGTGGAGCTTCCATGCCTTGTGCTGATCAAATCAGCTGCGTTGCCTGGGGACTCGCCTTTGCTCAGCGCTTCCCAGCGGAGAGGTGATGGTGGTTTTCCTTGAGGCTTCGTTTGGCTGCTGGCTGGGCTTTCTGCCTTTGGCTCAGAGGGGCTCAGAAGTTGAACATACCTGTGCTGAGTGCTCAGATCAGAATCGGAGGGATACGTCATCGAAGGGCCACTCACCCTTGCCGGAGAAAAGGTCTGTCTGGAGCGGTGGCACATGGTGGGGGGGAAGGAAAGGAGATCTCGTGGGAGGGAGGGAGGCTGTGTGTGTGTGGCTAGTTAATGCAAGCTGAAGGGGGTTTTGAATGCTGGACGCCATTTTGTTGCACGTGTTGCTGCAAACTTTGCAGTGCAAAGACAGGCCGGGGAGCCATCTTAAGTTGAGGCTGCATAGGCCTTGTGGTGCATGTGATTCAGATTCTATTCAGTTGAACCTCTGGTTACAAAGTTGGTTGGACAGTGTTCTCGGAGCTACCAGCATGAGTTTGACCAGACTGCAGGAGGACAGGAAGACTGGAGTGCCTGGAACAGGTGAGGCTGCAGGTCCCTTATTTTGGCTGCTGATCCCTTATTTTCAAGGCTGTTGGTCCCCTATTTTCAAATCTGTAAGTTGACAGCTATGGTTGGAAAAGGGGGTCTTTAAGCTAATGAATGCTTTTGTCTCTCACTTTTCCAATCTTAAGTTTCGCACATTCCGCTATTTCCATTTAACGTCCTCATGAAAATTCAGCATTTTGGTGCAAATTACTCCAAATATACCGTACACACTTTTCTGTAGGTAATTTTGCCCAATGCACATGTTTTTGCAAAGCCAATCCCTTTATATCAGGCATAGGCAAACTCGGCCCTCCAGATGTTTTGGGACTATAATTCCCATCATCCTTGATCACTGGTCCTGTTAGCTAGGGATGATGGGAGTTGTAGTCCCAAAACATCTGGAAGGCCGAGTTTGCCTATGCCTGCTTTGTATAATGAATTTTGTCTGCTATTTTCATAAATATCTACATTTCTACTTGCGTTTTACGCAAGTGTGCGCATTTATTATGCACATTACTTGGCTGAAGAACTGAACTGAAAAATTGGGAGGTGTGTGGATTTTGAAGAATGACCGTTTTGGTTTGCCCATTGTTTTGGAAAATGTGACTTGGCTAAAGACCTATGCACACTTCCTCTCGTCTTGCGGCTCTCCCCCAGGGAAAACTGCTTTCTAGTGCTCAATCAGAGCAAATGGCGATTGGGGTTTTCTCCGGATTGACATTTGCTCCAATGTAGCACTAAAGAGCGAGTTTTCCGTAGGGAAGGAACGAGGCAAGGGGAAAACACTTAGAACGTGAAGTGGAAAACTGCTTAGACCCAGGCTTTCTAGGCATGAGCAGACTTTGCTTAAGTGGTTTTAATTTACTGAAATTGAGAATGCTTAAATGCCTTGCTGAGTGTTTCATTCTGGAACGTTCCCCAGTAACTCTCATGAGATTGGTTAACTCTGGTCACATGGGAGGTGTCTTATTACATTCTCCATTTGGTTTTGTGCAAGTGACTTGACTCATGGCTGCAGCTCCATGAACACTGAAGAAGAGGCCATGTTAGATTGCGCTCTCTCTCTCTAATCGCAATAAAGGAGAGGTCTGACAATGTTTCTGTGCGAATGTATGTGATGGAAAGAAGGGCAGTAGTTTATGTTCTCCCAAAGAAGCAGTAAGGAGAGGTCTACTGGAAGGAGAAAGTGGAAACATCACAGAAGGAACTGCATGGCCAAGCTGGATATTCCACAGAAGGCTGAGCGGAAAGAGAGAAAGACACAGTTTGGTTGAATGTTTACGGAAGAATCAGTAATCTAGGGCTTCCATACATCCTGAATTTCCTGGACATATCTGGGATTCGTCCGTCGGAAATAGCATCTGGGCAGAAATTCCAAACATTGTTTAAAATGTCTGGGAAAACCTGGGCAACCCCTGTTGGACGTGTTGATTTTTTGGCGAATTTCCCCCAAAACAGCTCAAAAGCTTTTTCTTCTTTTTTGAAAAAATGCAAAAAAAACCACCCCTCATCAACTGGCCCCTCCCTATCCAAAAAAGCTCAACAGTTTTTGTGTCCGGATTTTCACTTTTTGAAACATGGGAACCCTACGTAATGTTCAACTAAGAAAAACTAGGCCCACGCTTGAATAACTATGTGAATGTAAATACTTTGCATATGTTCTTCATTAGCTATATGTTCTGCAAGCGAAAGCTTTTTTGAATATTTTAACAAGTGTTTGAACCAGGGGTCACCTAACTTTTTCAGCAGGGGGCCGGTCCACTGTCCCTCAGACCTTGTGGGGGGCCGGACTATATTTTGAAAAAAACATATGAACGAATTCCTATGCCCCACAAATAACCCAGAAATGCATTTTAAATAAAAGCACACATTCTACTCATGTAAAAACATGCTGATTCCCAGACCGTCTGCAGGCCGGATTTAGAAGGGGATTGGGCCGGATCCGGCCCCCGGGCCTTAGTTTGCCTACCCATGGTTTGGACACTGCTTTAATTTCCAGAAAAGAGTAATCTTCGCACAGGATTTGGCTTCCCAGCTGCAGTTTAGCTACTCTCCCAACCAGACTTACCCACAGTGTGGATCGGTCGCCGATACGGAATGAGCCCAAAACTGTACTGAAAGATCCCGCGGGCATGGAAGAGGGGGAGTGAGATCCCCATGATCTTTTGCAAACGCTCTTGGATCCACCGTAGCCAGCCGCCCTTGGGGTTTTCAACTTGATCGAACAGTTCGTTCTCACCAAAGGAAAAGACGGGGACAAGAGGAGTGCTGGGGGAGGGGGCAGAGGAATGGAAAAGAAGGTGTTGCGTCATCATCATAATGCCCAAAGCACACCCAGTGTTTATACCAGTGGTAATGAGCCCCACCCCAACTTGGAACACTGTCTAGGAGTGGATCCTGAATTTGATGCGGCCCCACTGTGGGTTAAACCACAGAACCTAGGACTTGCCGATCAGAAGGTCGGCGGTTCGAATCCCCATGACGGGGTGAGCTCCCATTGCTCAGTCCCTGCTCCTGCCAACCTAGCAGTTCGAAAGCACGTCAAAGTGCAAGTAGACAAATAGGTATCGCTCCGGCAGGAAGGTAAACGGCATTTCTGTGCGCTGCTCTGGTTCACCAGAAGAGGCTTAGTCAAGCTGGCCACATGACCCGGAAACTGTACGCCGACTCCCTTGGCCAGTAAAGCGAGATGAGCGCCGCAACCCCAGAGTCGGCCACAACTGGACCTAACGGTCAGGAGTCCCTTTACCTATGAGCCCGAAAAAGCAAGGCTTGGGGGCCACTGAGGCTCCACCCCTTGCCCTCGATGGCGACTTGCCCAATGTCAACACTGCTTTTGCAATCCAAGGCAGGAAGCAAAAGCAGGAGATTTTCCTGGATCCCTGATGAGCTGTGCTTTACCTGATGGTTCACCGCTTGTATAAAGTTACAGAGCCATCAGGGCTAGGCGCCATCAATAGCTCTCTCCTCCTCCATGAATTTCTCTCACCCTCTTTCAAAGCCCTCCAAGTTGGGGGCCATCACTGCTCTCCTGAACTTGCAGGTAGCCGTGCCACCAGAGTTAATGTTTTGTACGGGATTTGCACAATGCAGTCCTTCGCCCGACAGCGCGCCACGACTCACCCATGATGTATAGCTAGCCGAACAAACCCCTTCCGGTTTGCCAACAACAGAGTAAAAGCCCCTGGTCGGGCGTCCAGAGCTTCTCGCGCTCCTCCCACAGCGATGATGAGGACATTCCCTCCTCCTGACCTCCGTAAGACGTTGGCAGCCGTTTCCTTGTCAGATGGGACTAAACCTGGGTATGAAATGCAGGAAACGTGAGAGTAAGCTCCCTGAAAACCATCAGTACAGTGGTACCTGGGGTTACATACGCTTCAGGTTACACACTCCGCTAACCCAGAAATAGTACCTCGGGTTAAGAACTTTGCTTCAGGATGAGAACAGAAATCGCGCGGTGGCAGCGCGGCAGCAGCGGGAGGCCCCATTAGCTAAAGTGGTGCTTCAGGTTAAGAACAGTTTCAGGTTAAGAACAGACCTCCAGAACGAATTAAGTACTTAACCCGAGGTACCACTGTAGTGTTATTAATAGTACTATTATTTGGCAAATGCCTTTGCGGGACATCTTCAGGAGAATAACAATAACAACAACAACAATAATTTTTATTTATACCCCTCCCTCCCCAGCCAAGACCAGGCTGAGGGCGGCTAACACCAGGTATAAAAACAAGATTAAAATACATTAAAATGCAGCCTCATTTCAGTAGAAACTCAAATCGAAAAACTTTTTGGGAATGAAAATGTCAAATCTTCATGAAGGCCAACAGTCCAGACCGGTCCTAGGTGGGCCAGAAAAAAGCCAGGGAAGTCCCCAAATGGGAGTTCCATCACAGAAGGAGAAAGGAAAGAAAGGAAGGGGATCAAGTTGATTCCAAGCCAAAGGCCAGGTGGAACAACTCTGTCTTACAGACCCTGCGGAAAGAAATCAGATCCCGCAGGGCCCCGGTCTCATGAGACAGAGCGTTCCACCAGGCCGGAGCCAGTGTTGAAAAGGCTCTGGCTCTGGTTGAGGCTAAGGGGTAAGGCGTAAACCTTACACAAACTCAGAGTTGGGTCCATAAGATGGTTAGATGGTGCCTTGTTCGCCTTCTTCCAGCAACCCCTGCAGCCAAGCTGGTGCCAAATGAATTCCTTGCCTTCCCTTTGAACATCAGCGAGACCAAGGGGAGGGGATCTTGTCGTCTGGGCAGTCCAGGATCTACAGACACAGTGCCCAGGCTTGCACCCTGAGTAATTTCAGTGCTGCAAAAATCATGCAGGAGGCAGCAGTTACAAGCTACTGGTCTCTGCAGTCATAGCAAGGCCCGTATTCTCCAGGAGTTTGACTTAACCCCTGGAAGCACACTCCATTGTCTCTCAGGGCAGATGGATGCCAAGACACTCTTTTTGCAAAACTCTTTGTGTGCAAAACGTGTAAGGCTTTGTGGTGCCTCAGTTTACCTAATGGAAAGCCTCCTGGGTGCAGGGGTAGAGGACCTCTGGCTCTTCAGATACTGGTGGACTACAACTCCCATCATCGCTTGGACTACTGCAATGCGCCTACCTGGGGCTACCTTTGAAGGTGACCCGGAAACTACAACTAATCCAGAATGCGGCAGCCAGACTGGTGACTGGGAGCGGCCGCCCAGACCACATAACACCGGTACCGAAAGACTTGCTTTGGCTCCCAGGACGTTTCTGAGCACAATTCAAAGTGTTGGTGCTGACCTTGAAAGCCCTAAACGGCTTCAGCCCAGTAGACCTGAAGGAGCATCTCCACCCCCATCATTCTACCTGGACACTGAGGTCCCGCGCCGAGGGCCTTCTGGCGGTTCCCTCCCTGCGAGAAGTGAGGTTACAGGGAACCAGGCAGAGGGCCTTCTTGGTGGTGGCACCCGCCCTGTGGAACGCCCTCCCACCAGATGTCAAGGAAATAAACAACTATCTGACGTTTAGAAGACATCTGAAGGCAGCCCTGTTTAAGGAAGTTTTTAATATTTGATGTTTTACCATGTTTTTAATATTTTGTTGGGAGCCACCCACAGTGGCTGGGGAGACCTGGCCAGATGAGAGGGGTATAAGTAATACCGTATTTTTCGTTCTATAGGGCGCACCGGCCCATAGGACGCACCTCGTTTTTTGGGGGGGAAATGAATAAAAAAAATTATTTCCCCCCCGCGGCTGCCGCCCCAAGCCTCACGTGCTTCGGGCTGCAGGCTACCGCCCCAAGCCTCGCGCGCTCGGCGGGACCTCCTGCCGGGCGCGCAAGGCTTGCAGACACTCCCCGTGCTTCGGGCGACAGGCTGCCGCCCCAGCCTCGCGCGCCGGCGGGACCTCCTGCCGGGCGCGCAAGGCTTGCAGACACTCGCCCGAGCACGGGAGCCCTCCGGAGGGCTCCTCGTGCTCGGGCGACAAGCTGCCGCCCGAAGCCTCGCGCGCCGGCGGGACCTCCTGCCGGGCGCGCAAGGCTTGCAGACACTGCCCGAAGCATGGGGAGCCCTCCGGAGGGTGCCCCGTGCTTCGGGCGACAGGCTGCCGCCCCAAGCCTCGCGCGCTCGGCGGGACCTCCTGCCGGGCGCGCAAGGCTTGCGGACACTCGCCGGGGCTGCAGGCTGCTGCCTGCAAGCCTTGTGAGCCCGCGGGAACTCCCACCGGGCTTGCAAGGCTTGCGGATAGTTTCCTGAAGCCTGGAGAGCGAGAGGGGTCGGTGCGCACCGATGCCTCTCGCTCTCCAGGCTTCAGCGAAAGCCTGCATTCGCTCCATAGGACGCACACACATTTCCCCTTCATTTTTGGAGGGGAAAAAGTGCGTCCTATGGAGCAAAAAATACGGTAAGTTGTTGTTGTTGTTATCGCTGACTAAACAGCCATGCTGGATGGAGCTTGGGGAGGATGGGAGTCCAATGACATATGAAAGGTCACAGCTACTGCATCTGGTATGCCGCGCGGAGGACCTTAAGGTCCACAAATGACAACACCTTGGAGGTCCCAGGTCACAAGGTGGTTAGATTGGTCTCAACTAGGGCCAGGGCCTTTTCAGTACTGGCCCCGATCTGGTGGAAAGCTTTGTCACAAGAGACAAGGGCCCTGCAGGACTTGACATCTTTCTGCAAGGCCTGCAAGACAGAGCTGTTCTGCCTAGCCTTTGGTTTGGACTCAGTCTGACCCTTATGTTTCCCTCCCCTTACGGTTTTGATCTATGGGCTACTATTAAAATGAGGCTGCATTTTGAATTATATTTTAACCTGTATTTTAAATTGTTTGGGGTTTTTTTAATTGTAATTTTACTGGTGTTAGCTGCCCTGAGCCTGGCAGGGCATAACTAAATTATTATTATTATTATTAGGTGCAGGAAGTTTACAAAAGCACAGACTCTCTCTCTCTCTCTCTCTCTCTCTCTCTCTCTCTCTCCAGCCAGATATTGGCTTGTATCAACCGCCCTGAGCACCACAGCTCTTCTTACCTCCACTCATCAGATAGTCGCGGAAAAAAGGGATTCTGAACCAGAGGTTCAGCATCATCAAATGAGGGGTCAGTCCTGGGAAGATCTTGGAAAACCCAGTTGCCTCCGTACAGAAATTGAGGAAGGCTCCAGCCACCAGGACTCCGTGGGGATGGAAACCGAAGACGTAGTTCTTTGTCGGGTCCAGTTCCACCGTCTTCACCAGCTGTAAGAAGACCAAAGTCATTTAGGGCTCCTGCAGGACTCACCTTCTGAACTGGGAGAATGAGAGAACGGAGCAAGACCATTTATTTGTGGTACCTCGGTACCTTCAGGTTATATACGCTTCAGGTTACAGACTCCGCTAACCCAGAAATAGTACCTCGCGTTAAGAACTTTGCTTCAGGATGAGAACAGAAATCGTGCTCCGGTGGCGCGGCAGCAGCAGGAGGCCCCATTAGCTGAAGTGGTGCTTCAGGTTAAGAACAGTTTCAGGTTAAGAACGGACCTCCGGAACGAATTAAGTACTTAACCCAAGGTACCACTGTATATATATATATATATATATGAATAATTTTTTATTAACCGACCAATCACATCAAATCAAACCAAATTACATAAATTCCAAATTACACAGCCGAATTTTAAATTTTTGTTAGGGGTACCCATATTTCAAGTTCCGAAGGGATCCAATCAACTTCTTGCTTCTTACTGCTGTTTTAATGTCCACAAATCTAACCTTATGAGGTTCACAGTACTATCCAGTCCTTATTATTTTTCCACATCTCTTGTTGTTATTTTCATATATTTTTCCTTTCTCTTTGTGACCTCTGATAATCTCCGCAAGCTGGTTAGAACAGTTTGTAATCCTACGTGGATATTAATTTTTTTATCCAGTAGCCATGTCCAGACGTTTTCCATATAACATCACTTCCATACATCAAAACAGTCTTAGCGTCATTAATCTTCACCAATCTGCCTCCTTTCTCAAAACCTCTGAGGAGATTCACTAGGAATGCAGTCTGAAAACAATCCGTTCTTCCTCCCGGCTATAAATTCTTTGGCAAGATGGTGACTCCAAATTAATTGCTGCGCCATTCCCTAAAGTTCTTATTGCTTCTCGGTCTCCATAAAGCATACTTTTGGTTAAAGTTTATCTCCACACAGACCTTAATCATCCTGCTTGGGTCAGTTCAACCGACGGTTCTAATGAGGAGGGGTTCTTGTAAATCACATAGAAGGAAAGTAAAAAAGGTTCCCCCCCCCTTCAGCCCCGTTGTCAACATACCCCGCCTTTGGTGAATCTTCATCGTAAAATATTCCTGTTTCTCCAGGCCGTCGTCTTCTTTCGCAGAGGTCACTTAAATTAGCAGACTTCACTCCCCTTCTTCACTTGAAATATGTGCATTTGCTTCTTTTGTAATTAATTATTCCAAATTGCTGCAACTAGTGCGCGATCAGAGACAGCGTCCAGGAGAGCTGTTGTCCACACAGGGGCATTCTCCCTAGGGCCCTCACCGCCTTCTTTCGAATTAGGGGGTGATTTATGGCACAGCAGGCAAGGGCAGTGTTCCCCATTTCCTTGGGGCAACAAGGGAGGCTGCCTACTCCCATAACAGCCTCAATTACCCCGTGTGGGTCGGAGAGATGGTATTGTCGGCCATCTTCCAATGCGCCCCCTAGTTTAAAGGTTGTTTAAATGATTATTTTGAAATGTGGATTAGAAAATCCACATTTCAAAATATTCATTTAAACAACCTTAAATCACTGACTTCCCTTCTTCTCTTTCCATGGTTCATTTTGCATGCCATACAACCCTGCATATTTTACATGAACTAAACCATTCAGTATTCCATTGTTACATCCATCAAAACTTATTTACACTGTTGAATTCATCTTAATGCTACTAGCATTTTTAAATGAACACAATTTTCACCCATATATTCAGTAAACATTTTCCAGCCTTCTTTAAATGTACATTCTTCTTGTTCGCTTATTCTATACATTAAATCTGCAAGCTGCGCGTATTCCATCAGTTTCAGTTGCCATTCTTCTTTGGTTGGGCCCTTGCTCATTTTCCATTTTGAGGCTAACAAAACACGGGCCGCAGTAGCGGAGCAAGACCATATCTAAGCAGCGCTAGAGAACTGAGGACCGATTTGCACAGTCATTGTGCTACCACAAGCTTGATTTCTTTTCAGGGACCCTGAAGTCTTGCAAATGCTCTCCTACCCCTCGGAGTCTGCTTCAGCAACAGTTATTGCCTGGTACACTAGAATCGTAGAATTATAGAACTGTAGAGCTGGAAGGGACCCCAAAGTTCATCTAGTCCAACCCCCTGCAATGCAAGAATCCTGCCCACAGCCTTCATTGGGTGGGCTCAAACCGCTAACCTGTTGCGATATTCCGTTCAACCTTAAGAACAGACGTGTGTCTGCTTTTAGCACCCCGCTGCTTCCGAATCGCTCCAAATCAACGTATCCCGATAGATATTGCCAATTAAATCCGGGTTTATTACTGTTTGAGAATCAATCGCTGCAACGTGCAAGCCTGGGGCTGCGCTTCCGGAGGGCAGAAAATGGCATCCCGAAGTGCCAGCATCTCAATCTCGCCGTTCTCTTCACCTCTAAACAGAGGCTACCTGACGGCTGAGAGACCCGCAAACAGCTCTGCTGGAGCCAGCTGGGGGCCTGCCAGTTGCCCTTGTTTCCTTGGTTGCATGCCAACATACCATCTGGTTAATAGCCAATGCACTGCCCCATTGTGCCACAACCGCCATTCAGAGAGCTCACCCGGGGGAGATTGTTTAATGGTGTTTCCCTGTTTTTTGACCGTGGGGCCACAGCTCCTCTCCGCCCCAAATTAAAATCAGAAGCACACTTTGCTCTAGCCGCAGAAAAGGTTGGTGTTTAGATAGTGTGGGAGTTTGAGCTGCCTGCTTGCTGTAAGGAAACCTTCTGTTCCTGGCGAGAAAGGGGACCATTGGCTACCTGGGATGGTGAGCCAGAAATGAAAAGGATGCTTAAAATAACCTTTGTAGACATCAGAGAGAACTTGTTGACTTGCCATTTATAAACTCTATTTTTGGAACGAAGCCCAGTGCCTTTAATGAGAACTTGACGAACAAAGGCTAAGAGGACTGAACACCAATATAATTGGACAGAATATATAAAAAAATAGAAAATTGTCCAGTAGCACCTTAGAGACCAACTAAGTTTGTTCTTGGTATAAGCTTTCGTGTGCATGCACACTTCTTCAGATTTTTTTTATATACTGTATTTTTCGCTCTATAAGACGCACCAGACCATAAGACGCAACTAGTTTTTGGAGAAGGAAAACAAGAAAAAAAATATTCTGCATCTCAGAAGCGCAGTGAAAGCAGCAATCCCTCTTGCTGTTCTGGCTTCTGGGATAGCTGCGCAGCCTGCATTCGCTCCATAAGACGCACACACATTTCCCCTTTTTAGAAGGGAAAAAGGTGAGTCTTATAGAGCAAAAAATACGGTATTTTTACTGTGTCAGACCAACACGGCTACCTACCGGACAGATAATAATATGGGGGCATGGGATGCCTCCTGTGCGTTAACAATGTAAAAACTTTGCTACAGAAGATGTGAGCCACAGAAACAACGACTGATCAGACTGAGAATAAGGATGGATAATATTAGTTTTGAATTTGAAAAATAGCCAAAAATGCAGAGACATGAATGAGGATGATCATCTCTAGACATCTGGAACACGGGAAGTCCCTCCCAAAAATCTTTATAATTGGAATATATGATTGGTGGTATTGTTATTATTGTAATTTGGACTGGTTTGTCATTAATTGGAAGATTGTTGTTGAAAATGAATAAAAATTTAACAAAAAAATAACCTTTGTAAAAAATAAAAACACACCATCTATCATAAAGACACTGCAGTCTCCCTTGTGCCTTCAGGTAAAACATGGACCCTGGGCAAGCGTCAGGAACCGCAGAAATCTCGCACCGCTCAGAGATTGGGGTGGCAATTGGAGACGGCCTTTCACCCAGTCAAACTATTGGATCTATTGTGCTCAGTCAAGACTTATTGGCAATGGCTCTCCAGGGTTTCAGAGCAGGATCAGAATCTTGCTGATCTGCTGCAAACCACCCCAAGATCTGCTCAGGGATCGCATTCTCCCATCTATGCTCGCTCAACCTCCTCCATCTACAGAGCTGGCATCTTGACAGATGCCACAGTTCCACAACGATAGGAAATCAATCTTTTAGCGTTGCAGCTGCTACACTTCGGAACTCCCTGCCTATTGAAATTAAGCAGGTATAATCTTCCTGGTGCCAGCTAAAAACATTTTGGTTTAAAAAAGCCTGCCCACACATGTAGCAGTTGCAGGTGTCGCTCATTCGTTTTTAGTTTATTGTAATTGTAACGTTTTCAACTGTGTTTTATTGACAATATCAAGTTTTGCTTTGCAAAACCTCTCCGGGGTTTTATGACAACCGAGCAGTGTATAAATGTTGTTGACTCAATGAACTTTAAAACCAATAAATGCGATCAGGTCCTGATTTACATTTTGCCCAACTCCGGGAGCAGATTCCAGGGGTAGATGGGGAGACTCTCCTTTATTTCCCATTAAGACATTTCCCTTTAGAGCACTTATTTCTTGGAACAAGCTAGCGGGGAGGCTGGCCGAGTTAGATAACCTAACAGCTTCCCCTTGTCTTATTTCTAAGAATCTCCCTCTGCCTGGAGCTCATTTATCCGCAACAACATCAGGCGCTCTCAGATCTCAGTGGCCGATGACTGGCTTCCCTTGCCCATCTTCCTGATTAATGAGACTTTTACAGATCAATTAGACTTTTACAGAGCCCAGGCTGTGAGCCTTCGTGCCTCGGCCATCACCACAGCTGTTTGCTTTTCCTTATAGAGTCATTTCAGTGAGAGCAGGATAAAGAGGGAATTTTCTCTGGTTTTGCAATGTCCCCAGCCTGGAACATCTGGTTTCACGGCTTGGATTCCCTTCCTGTCCATCAATATCTCCAGTGGAGTCTGGTCCAGTGGGGCAAATGGGACTCAGCCTTCCCTCCACCAACTGAATTGTATAATTGTTGAGTTGGATGGGAACCCCAAGCGTCATCCAGCCCAACCCCACACACAATGCAGGAATCCCGGCTAAGGAATCCCCTGAGCATCTAACCTCTGTTCAGAAAGCTGCAAGGAAGGGGAACCATAGCTGTCAACCGTCCCTTATTTGGCGGGAAAGTCCCTTATCCTAGCGCTGTGTCCCGTTGCTGTCCCTTATTGATGATGTCCCTTAAATTTCCCGGGTTTCAAAGGAAGCAGCTCATCTCCCTCCCTCCCTGCTGGCCAGGGAGGAGGGAGGCTCCAACTGTGTTGCTTGGCTGCATTGCTCACCCAATAAGGAGTCTAAGAATGGCTGGGGGGGTGGAGCTTGCATGCCTTGTGCCAATCAGATTGGCCGCGTTGCCTGGGGACTCGCCTTTGCTCAGTGCTTCCCAGTGGAGAGGTGACAGTGGTTTCCCTTGCTGCATCCCCTTTGCTGGGTTGCTGCGCTGTAGGAACCACCGCTTGAGGCTTGTTTTGGCTGCTGGCTGGGCTTTCTGCCTTTGGCTCGGAGGGGCTCAGAAGTTGAACATACCTGTGCTTGGAAAATCCCTTATTTTGGCTGCTGATCCCTTATTTTTGAGGCTGCTGGTCCCTTATTTTCAAATCTGTAAGTTGACAGCTATGAGGAGAACCCACCACTTAGGCTAAAGGGCTGGAAAAATCAACAACTAAATCACCTGAAAAGAACACTCCCAGTACAGAGGCGGATGGGGAAAGAGCTCTACTTAAGAGACAGGTTGGAAGAGGAAGGCTTTCAGTAGGCCCCGAAAAGACAACACAGATGGCACCTGCCTAATATTCATGGGGAGGGGAGTTCCAAAGGGTAGACGCCACTGTCAGGAGCTCAGCCTACACTCGAGTAGGACCCTGCAGAGACACATGCCCGACTGGCATGTTTTCTCCCTCCTGGTCGATCGTTCGGGAGCTTCAAAAGCTTTCTTCAGCCCGAACATCACAGCGACCGATAGCAACAGACATCGGCACACTTAGGGATCCGCAGAGTCTTCACAGTTTGCATAACAGACCTCAGCAACTCAGCATTTTGGCTAATCTACTGTATTTTCTGGCATATAAGCATAGCTGTCAAGTGTCCCTTATTTGAAGGGACAGTCCCTTATTCCAGCGCCATGTCCCGCTGCTGTCCCTTATTGATAGATGTCCCTTAAATGTCCCTTAAATGATGTCCCTTAAATTTCAAAGGAAGCAGCTCCTCTCCCTCCCTCCCTGCCGGCCGGCCAGGGAGGAGGGAGGCTCCAACTGTGTTGCTTTGGCTGTGTTGCTCACCCAATAAGAAGTCTAAGAACGACTGGGGAGTGGAGCTTGCATGCCTTGTGTGTGGCTAGTTAATGCAAGCTGAGGGGATTTTTGAATGCTGGACGCCATTTTGTTGCATGTGCTGCTGCAAACTTTGCAGTGCAAAGCCAGGCCGGGAAGCCATCTTAAGTTGCATAGGCCTTGTGGTGCATGTGATTCAGATTCTATTCAGTTGAACCTCTGGTTACTAAGTTGGTTGGACAGTGTTCTCGAAGCTACCAGCATGAGTTTGAGCAGACTGCAGGAGGAAAGGAAGACTGGAGTGCCTGGAACAGGTGAGGCTGCAGGTCCCTTATTTTGGCTGCTGGTCCCTTATTTTCAAGGCTGCTGGTCCTTTATTTTCAAATCTGTAAGTTGACAGCTATGCGTATAAGACTACTTTTTAACCCAGGAAAATCTTCTCAAAAGTCGGGGGTCGTCTTATATGCTGGCTACAGCAGCAGCTCCTGCAGCAACTCCCCACCAAAGGATAAAACGACAGCAATTTAAATCAGAGGACACCAAGCTCTCTAGATGAAGCAGAAATATGCTTGAAAATTGGCCCCAGAAGCCCCCGGCCACTGGGAAGTGGAGCGGATTTCCGAGCCGGACTGGAGACTGGTTTTTTAAATTTTTATTTGGTGTGCGTTGGAAGAGGGGTAGTCTTATACGGTGAGTATATTCCAAACTCTATATTTTAACTGGAAAAGTTGGGGGGTCGTCTTATACGCTGGAAAATATGGTACTTTATTTACATATAAACACACACGGAGCACTGCAACATGGCTCCCTCTCTCTCTAGCATCAGACAGCAAAGAGAGAAAAAAAGAAGGACAATAGTCCCACTTCACGGAACACAGCAACACAAACATCCTGTCTCCGTCACTTCCCACTCTGTGGGGTCAAAACATATACCATCATGTGAAAGACAACAATCCCATGACTGCAATCACGGAGCAGGAATTCTAACAGCCACCGCACTAAAGGCCTGGTTCCTATATTGTGTGGAACTAGGGCTGAGTTAACCGTTAACCATTCAGCAAAATAAGCATGTGCTTAGGGCATCAAGGGAAGGGGGGCATCACAAAAAAAATTCCATTTCCAGATTTACCATGGCGCACATGTGCTGCTGAGCAAACACAAGCATTATTACAGCCCTGATAGAAGAAAGAAGCCTCCACCATAGAAGTAAACAAGATTGGTAAAATATATTATTGAACTATGCAGCATAATTCAGTTATTTGAAACCCAAGAAAGAGCACTTTTTTTATTGAAACAGGGAAAAATGTTTAAAATGTTAAAAAACCAGAAGCTTTTCTATTAGGAATTACAGGTAACGACATTCCAAAGGAACAGAAGGGACTTGTTATGTATGTGACAACAACCGCACGGATGCCACTAGCCCAGAGTTGGAAAGAAGAAAGAGTCCATACCAGGAAGGAATGGCAAGTAAAGCTGATGGACTAGGCCGAAATGGCAAAGCTGACTGGAAACCTCAGGAACCAAGAGGACAATTTTTTTAAAAAAAGAATGGGAAAATTTATAACTTACATAGGAGACCACTGCAAGCCGATAAAAACATTAGCAGGATTTCAATCACACTTGTAACAAATACCATGGATGATATAGATGGGTACACAATATAGATTATGGAATAATGTTGTTGTTGTTTAGTCATTTAGTCGTGTCCGACTCTTCATGGCCCCATGGACCAGAGCATGCCAGGCAATCTAGTCTTCCACTGCCTCCCGCAGTTTGGTCAAACTCATGCTGGAAGCCTCGAGAACACTGTCCAACCGTCTCGTCCTCTGTCGTCCCCTTCTCCTTGTGCCCTCCATCTTTCCCAACATCAGGGTCTTTTCCAGGGAGTCTTCTCTTCTCATGAGGTGGCCAAAGTCTTGGAGCCTCAGCTTCAGGATCTGTCCTTCCAGTGAGCACTCAGGGCTGATTTCCTTCAGAATGGATAGGTTTGATCTTCTTGCAGGCCATGGGACTCTCAAGAGTCTCCTCCAGCACCATAATTCAAAAGCATCAATTCTTTGGCGATCAGCCTTCTTTATGGTCCAGCTCTCACTTCCATACATCACTACTGGGAAAACCATAGCTTTAACTATATGGACCTTTGTCGGCAAGGTGATGTCTCTGCTTTTTAAGATGCTGTCTAGGTTTGTCATTGCTTTTCTCCCAAGAAGCAGGCGTCGTTTAATTCCGTGACTGCTGTCACCATCTGCAGTGATCATGGAGCCCTAGAAAGTAAAATCTCTCACTGCCTCCATTTCTTCCCCTTCTATCTGCCAGGAGGTGATGGGACCAGTGGCCCTGATCTTCGTTTTTTTGATGTTGTGCTTCAAACCATATTTTGCGCTCTCCTCTTTCACCCTCATTAAAAGGTTCTTTAATTCCTCCTCACTTTCTGTCATCAATGGAATAATACGCAGTTGTAAATGTTGACAATAGGACCCACGGAGCGGATAGGGAGGAAGTCTTGAGATTCGGAGAAATCTAAATTTGGATTGTTATAAATTGATATTTGTAAAATCAAATAAAAATGTTTTCTTTAAAAATGAACACCAGTTGCTGGAAACCACAGGAGGGGAGGGTTCTCTTGTGTTTGAATCCTGCTCGGGGTCTTCCAAAAGGCATCTGGTCATTAACCTGATCCAACAGGGATCTTCATGTTCTACTTGGGAGTAGGCCACAACACAACACAAACAACAACTGTGGAGTAAGCATCATCGCCGGAGCACATCCATTAAACAGTGGACGTTTCTCTTTAATGATTACCCGGCCCTGTTTACCCTCCTTTGCCAAAGAGGAGGTCTCTCATCCCTCGCCCAACTCCTGGTTGCCATGGTACCGGCCTTCGCATCCTAAGAAGAGCCTGGAGGCCTTACATAATGCTCTCCAGGTTGTTATACAAGGTAATCTTGCTTAATGGCTCTTCCGGAGTGCGTTGTTTGACTAAGGCAACTGGGCAGGGGAGGTGAGAAGGCAGCAGGATCCCGATCATTGGACAGCAAGTTTGTTTGTACGCCGCCGCCCTCCGCTGTCGGACAGAGGTTACTCTAGAGCCACTGAAATTGAGGTGTCTCCAAGTGTCTGTATTTTCCAGGGAGAGCCCTGGATTTACAGAAGCCGTCCCGGTTTCTGATTTGATACCCAAATGTCCCGCTTTTCCTTAGGACAGTGGTTTTGAAGCAGTGTACCATGGGACCCTGAGGGATGGTCAGGGGTGCCATGGGCAAGTCTGGCCCATAGCTGTCAACATACAGATTTGAAAATAAGGGACCAGCAGCCTCGAAAATAAGGGATCAGCAGCCAAAATAAGGGATTTTCCAAGCACAGGTATGTTCAACTTCTGAGCCCCTCCGAGCCAAAGGCAGAAAGCCCAGCCAGCAAGCAAACGAAGCCTCAAGCGGTGGTTCCCACAGCGCAGCAACCTGGCAAGGGGGATGCAGCAAGGAAAACCACCGTCTCCTCTCTGCTGGGGAGCGCTGAGCAAAGGCGAGTCCCAGGCAATGCGGCCGATTTGATTGGCACAAGGCATGCAAGCTCCACCCCCCAGCCATTCTTAGACTCCTTATTGGGTGAGCAACGCAGCCAAGCAACACAGTTGGAGCCTCCCTCCTCCCTGGCCGGCAGGGAGGGAGGGAGAGGAGCTGCTTCCTTTGAAACCCAGGAAATTTAAGGGACATCATCAATAAGGGACAGCAGCGGGACACGACGCTGGGATAAGGGAGTTTCCCACCAAATAAGGGACGGTTGACAGCTATGGTCTGGCCTCCATCTCTCTTTCCTTCCTTTTCTCCTCTTCTGATGCCCTCTCACCTCTCTGCCTCCCAAAGCCTTGTGTGGTCGTTTCTTGCAGAAGCTGGCCAGGGGATACTGGTTGCCAGGAGCTGAAGCGGCTTCAGGGTAAGCAAGCAAGTGGGTGAGGAAGCCCAGCTTTTGCTGTTGGGAATGGATGGGCAAGGGGGACGCCAGGCAGGCAGGCAGGCAGGCGTCACACTGAGCTTTCTTGTGCTTGCTGTGTGCAATGCCTGCCTGGGAGCTGAGTGTCTGGCACCAAAGGGGAGCCTTTCCACCATGCAAGCGCATGGCACCTGCTGCCGCCACTGCTGCCTCATGTTCATCTTTGGCCAGTCTCTGTCGGGTCCCTGAGGCTGGGGGCATCTTCTCAGGCCCCTGTGGGGCCACGTGAAGAAGCACCTCTCTTTGGGGTTGGGGCCCCCTCAGAGACCAGGGGCGGCGGCTGCCCAGAGGACTCCCAAGGAAAGGGGATAGAAGAGGCTGAGGGAAACACTCCACAGGGGAGGTTGTTTGAAAAGGGGTGAGGGGCTGCCGGCTCTGCAGGCAAGGGGGTGACATAGCTGGGTTTCTTAGGCTCGGAGGGCATATAGTTGGCCAAGGGAGCCTTGGACTCAAGAACGTTGAAAACCTCCGAGTACACGATATCAGAGCCCTGCCTTTGCTAGTGCATTTCCTTAATCCGACTTAATCCCAGGGTGCAAGTCTTTAACCTGAGGAACACGTCCCTTCTCAGTTTTGCTTTTTCCCATCCCACCTGAAATATACTCGGAGTCGAGAGTAGATTTCATGCTCTTTATTCAGCTCATAGTGGTGAGGAGGAATGGAAGTTCCCCCAGAATGTCTGCTTTATATACATTATTTACACAATGGGCCCCACGTGATTGGCTAATTCCGGGATTCACCTGTAGGCCAATCAGGTTGCGGATTCACTTCCACCTGGACCTGGATTGGGTGGCTCCTGTGGACCAATCAGACTGCTGCATTCTGGACCCTATTGTTCTAGGACCAATCAGACTGCTGCATTGTGAATCCTATTGTTCTAGGACCAATCAGACTGCTGCATTTTGGACCCTATTGTTCTAGGACCAATCAGGCTGCTGCATTGTGAATCCTAGTGTTCTAGGACCAATCAGACTGCTGCATTTTTGACCCTATTGTTCTAGGACCAATCAGGCTGCTGCCTTTTGGATCCTATTCAACTCAGTACATAACAGCACTCTTTGCATAAATTCTCTTCAAAAATTAAATGGATCCATCCAGAGCCCAGGGCAGCCAACAGTTGGAACTATTATGCAGCTATTAAGAGCCATTCGGGTGTTTCTGCACAGATCTCCTTAACACTATTCCTTGCTTGCTCAAATTATAAACTGTCCTAATGCCCAAATCACGTGAGGGGCGGCGTGAAGAGGCACCTCTTTGGGGCAGATGGGGTGGGGTTGAAAAGGGGTGAGGGGATGGTGTCTCTGCAGGCAAGGGGGGACATAGCTGGGTTCCTGAGCCCCACAGGGGTGCCGCAGAAAGAACGTAGTTGGTCAAGGGAGCCGTGGACCCAAAATGGTTGAAAACCCCTGCCTTATGACGTCCCTATTTTCATCAGAGAAATGTTGGAGGGTATGGAGTTATGCAACCCTTAAGTCAAGGACCTTTAGAAGCCATCTGAAGGCAGTCCAGTATGGGGAAGATTTTTTTTTTTAAAAAAAAAGTTTTATGTTTTATTATGTTTTTATATATAGTGGTTACAGATGCTTCAGGGTACAGTCTCTGCTAACCCAGAAATAGTACCTCGGGTTAAGAACTTTGCTTCAGGATGAGAACAGAAATCGTGCGGCAGCAGCAGGAGGCCCCATTAGCTAAAGTGGTGCTTCAGGTTAAGAACAGTTTCAGGTTAAGAATGGACCTCCAGAACGAATTAAGTACTTAACCCGAGGTACCACTGTAGTAAAATAATTGATCTCACCACTCTCTTTTTGACAGTATTGTTTCTCCCCCCCCCCCCCCCGATTTTTGGCAATTAGTGTTCTCGCAGCCCCTGTAGCATAAAGGAATATTTTATTATTTTCTCTGGCTATAAACAGTCGTCGTATCTCAATCCATTGGTGCTTCTCTCCAGAGCCGCAGAAAACCGGCTGGCTCCATCTTCTGTGTGACAGTCCTTCAGATAGCACATCTCCTTTGTGTCTCTCTTCCTTCTCTCTGCCCCTGGGTCTTGGAGCGCCACTTCCTGGATTAACGGTGGCAAAGGGTGGGTGGGCAGGGAGCCCAGGTCCCATCATCACTTCACCTCTTTATCCCCAGACACACTCCTTCGTTTGTGCCACAGAGATATTATGGGAAGATTAGAGGGCTCTGGTTAATCTCTCGGGAGTGGCTAAGCCTCAGGTAAGAAACCTTCAACACACAGCTCCACACCGGGAGGGTGGCAAGGAAATCCAGCTCTCGCCTCTGGAATTGGCAGGCACCTGATTGGCGCTTTGAGAGCCGATGGAAGAACCGCACGTCCAAAAGACCAGTTTGGGAAAATGAGAGCTCCGGGTTGAAATATACTCTGAGTCGAGAGTGGATTTCATGCTCTTTATTCAGCTCATAGTGGTGAGGAGGAATGTAAGTTCCCCCAGAATGTCTGCTTTATATACATTATTTACACAATGGGCCCCATGTGATTGGCTAATTCCGGGATTCACCTGTAGGCCAATCAGGTTGCGGATTCACTTCCACCTGGACCTGGATTGGGTGGCTCCTGTGGACCAATCAGACTGCTGCATAATGGATCCTATTGTTCTAGGGCCAATCAGACTGCTGCATTCTGAATCCTGTTGTTCTAGGGCCAATCAGACTGCTGCATTCTGAATCCTGTTGTTCTAGGGCCAATCAGACAGCTGCCTTTTGGATCCTATTGTTCTAGGGCCAATCAGACTGCTGCATTCTGAATCCTGTTGTTCTAGGGCCAATCAGACTGCTGCATTCTGAATCCTATTGTTCTAGGACCAATCAAACTGCTGCATTCTGGATCCTATTCAACTCAGTACATAACTCGGGTATTTCTTCAGGAAGCGAAGTCCAACTGGTGTGATGTATTCAGCGGTCTGCGTTTGCCTGAGCTGGAGTCTGGACTAAGAACACTGAGCTCCTGTGTTCTGATTCGATACACGGTGCCCAATCACAGAACATTTCAGGATTCGGGCCTCTGCCATTGGCCCTTGAACTCTGAGTTGCGATTCGCAGCTTGGAAGTTTAGACAGCCAATCACGTTGGGAGTGGGAGTGGCCCGGGCTTTCAGGAATATATGTAAGCAGTTGCTTCACCCCTGTTTCCCAGTTATGTAGCTCAATCAAGGTTCTTGCTGTTATCCCTGTGTCTTGCGTCGTGGGAACCCACCTATACTTCAGCAGCAACCCAAAATAAGAAGCTAATGGAGGGGGAGAGGGAAGAATAGGGGTGACCATATTGAGAGCCAGTGTGGTGTAGTGGTTAAGAGCGGTGGACTCGTAATCTGGTGAACCGGGTTCGCTTCCCCGCTCCTCCACATGCAGCTGCTGGGTGACCTTGGGCTAGTCACACTTCTCTGAAGTCTCTCAGCCCCACTCACCTCACAGAGTGTTTGTTGTGGGGGAGGAAGGGAAAGGGGAATGTTAGCCGCTTTGAGACTCCTGAAGGGGAGTGAAAGGCGGGATATCAAATCCAAACTCTTCTTCTTCTTCTTCTACGAGTTCCACCTTCCCACTCCAAGGGTGGGTTTGTAGGAGACTGGACAGACCTTGTAGCTCAGGGTGCTTCAGAGCAAGCTCAGGAGTGTCGTCTCCGGTTGGGGTGCATGGGATTTTGCCGTTCCTGTGGCTCCCGATTCGATGGATTAAGCCAAAGGGTGCGATGGGACATGTCTGGAGCAGCACAGGAGGACCGCCCTGAAACCATTGTCACTCCCAAACTGACCAAATGTTTTCTCTGCAAGGAGGGAGGAGGTGGGGGCCCTCCCCATTGTCTTTTTGTTCACAAATCCTGTCTTAAGGGTATGTCTGTGTATGAGTAAGTTGAGCTTGTGACCTGGACTCAGGAACTAGGTATGTGTCATTACAAAAGACTGGCCAGGCTCCCCAGGTAACCCAGTCAAGTGACCGTTAACAGGTAACCTGGCAGACAGGGTAAAAACAATGCACTCAGATTTCTGTTGTAGACCACCTCTTTTGTGATGTAAGTATCTGGGGGTGGTCTTGGACTCCCAAGGCAGGTAATTTAAAATGTCTCTATAAGGGCGGACACACCTTTGTTCTGGGTCCTCCTCTTTCTCCTGCGTGTGAAGGGGACACCCTGTTGCAACAGTTCAATAAAGATCAGGCTTACTAGCTGCTTTGCTTCTCAATATTCTCTGGTTGGCCTCTGTTATTTTCTCCAACCGATGGAGAACCTGCAAAGGACTCTATAAGAGCTCTTGCGTCCCCCATAAGGGAATAAGGCAGATTTACGTTTATTACAGGCACCTCAAAAGACTTGGTAAGTCCCTCAAGGCTTTGTGTCTGATCTCCTAACTTCACACATGCACCCCATACAATTAACACTTCACATGGATTTGGACCCAAATTCACCCATGAAGGTCACTCTAGGCCTCAGCATCCTCACCAAGAAGAGTTTGTGATCAGCTTGAATGTGCTATAGAGATTCATGTGAAGCCACACAAGATTTGCTCGATATCAACACCTTCCAGAGAAGTAAAGATGAATGGAAAAGATAAAAGCCCTGAGAGCCACAATCAAGCTTGTCGAAGCTGAATGTTGGAAGATTCAGCGCAGATGAAAGAAAACCCTTCTTCACGCAGCACAGAGTTAAACTGTGGAACTCCGTGCCTCAGGAGGCAGCAATTGGTACAGGCTTTTGTTGTTTAGTCGTTTAGTCGTGTCCGACTCTTCGTGACCCCCTGGACCAGAGCGCGCCAGGCACTCCTGTCTTCCACTGCCTCCCACAGTTTGGTCAAACTCATGCTGGTAGCTTCGAGAACACCATCCAACCATCTCATCCTCTGTCGTCCCCTTCTCCTTGTGCTCTCCATCTTTCCCAGCATCAGGGTCTTTTCCAGGGAGTCTTCTCTTCTCATGAGGTGGCCAAAGTATTGCAGCCTCAGCTTCAGGATCTGTCCTTCCAGTGAGCACTCAGGGCTGATTTCCCTCAGAATGGATTGGTTGGATCTTCTTGCAGTCCATGGGACTCTCAAGAGTCTCCTCCAGCACCAGAATTCAAAAGCATCCATTCTTCAGCCATCAGCCTTCTTTATGGTCCAGCTCTCACTTCCTTACATCACTACTGGGAAAACCATAGCTTTAACTATATGGACCTTTGTTAGCAAGGTGATGTCTCTCCTTTTTAAGATGCTTTTTAAGATGGAGTTTTCCAAGAAAACTCCATGGACAAAGACAACAGGTACCGGCTTAGATGGCTTTAAAAGAGAATTGCATACATTTACAAAGGAGAGAGCTATCGATGGCTCCCAGCCACATGGCTTTGCTCTGCCTCCACAGCTGGAGTCAACTGAATATCAGTTGCTGGAAACCGCAGCAGGGGGGAGGGCTCTTGGGTTCAAATCCTGCTTGCTGGTTTCTCAAAGGCAACTGTTTGAGCCACTGTGAGAACAGGATGCTGGCCTAGTTGGGCCACGGGTCTGGGCCATTGACCTACGGGACTGCCTATCCTGGTATGCCCTGCGGAGGACCTTAAGGTCCACAAATGACAACACTTTGGAGCCGCAAGGTGATTAGATTGGTCTCAACCAGAGCCAGGGCCTTTTCAGCACTGGCCCCGATTTGGTGGAACTTGGCCCCGACTTGGTGTCACAAGAGACCAGGGCCCTGCGGGACTTGACATCTTTCCGCAGGGCCTGCAAGACGGAGCTGTTCCGCCTGGCCTTTGGTTTGGACTCAGTCTGACCCTTATGTTTCCCTCCCCTTATGGTCTTGATTTATTGGCTACTTTAAAATGAGGTTGCATTTTAAATTGCATTTTAACCTGTATTTTAAATTGGTCCCCACCCCCGCCAATTATGCTTTTACTGTGATTTTATTGGGTGTTAGCCGCCCTGAGCTCGGCTCTGGCCAGGGAGGGTGGGGTATAAATAAAATCTATCATCATCATCATGCTCTTATCAGCTGAGCTGGTCAGCTGATTCCCAGCTCAATTCCACTCTGGCTAACCTAACTGCGCCTCCGATATCTCCCAATCTACTATACAGTGGGGGGGGGAGGGGAAGTATTTGATCCCCTGCTAAATATGCCCGTTTGCACTCTGACGAGGAAATGTCCAGTCCATAATTTTAATGGTAGGTTTATTGTAGCTGTGAGAGACAGAATAGCAACAGGAAAACCCCCAGAAACCCAGAATATTCTCCACAGGTTGCAGGCTCCCGCAAATATTGTGTAGTTTAATAGTAATCTCTAGAGCGCTTTGCATCCTTCCCTGCTGCTGTGATCCTTCTCAAAGCTCCCTTATTAACAGCTCTCCATCTTTTCCCAGCATTTTACAGGGGAAATGTCTTTGGCGTTTCAGACTGACATGGACGTTCCTTGGAGCCAAGACTGGTTGTGGGCTGCCACCTGCTGGATAAGTGTCACATGGCAGATTTCATGCAGGCTCAATATTTGGGGGGCGTGGGGAGAGATGACATTTTCCAGATGTTGGATTCCAGCCCCGCCCCCAGCCAGCATGCCCAATGGTCAGGGAGGGTGAGAGTTGCAGTCCAACATCAGCTAGGGAATAACAGCCTCTCCAACAATCACGGAGGGCCAGACCAGTTTCAATAGCTCACTTGGAAGAGCGTGAGATTCTTTATCTCAAGGTTGTGGGTTCGAGCCCCACGTTGGGCAAAAGATTCCTGCATTGCAGGGGGTTGGACTAGATGACCCTCGTGGTCACCTTCAATCCTATGAAATACATTTTTCATTGAATGTACAATTTATCATGTATATATATATATATATGAGTGAAAGACAAGAGTGCCTGGCGTGCTCTGGTCCATGGGGTCACGAAGAGTTGGACATGACTAAAGGACTAAACAACAACAATGGAAAGAGATTGACCCTGCCAAGGAAACTGAAGAACATTTTCAAGTATGCGACAATGGCAGTACGATTCTTAATAGCACAAGGATGGAAGAACGAGGAAATCCCAACAAAAGAACAGTGGCAAGAGAAACTGATGGACTATGCAGAATTGGCAAAACTGACACACAAACTGCGTGACAAGGACAACTGTGACTTCAAAGAAGAATGGGAACCTTTTACAAAGTACCTAAAGAAATAACAAAATGAACTGGACTCCTTGGCAGGTTTTGAATAAACATACACAATTTTATTATTGGTAACATATAGATAGATAAATTAAGGATCTTTACAACTTTATAATATGCAGAGAATAATGTGTACTGAAAAAAACAGAGAGGAGCTGAGGGAAGTCTGGGGGGTGGGGTTTTCTTTTCTTTTTGGGGGGAGGTGGGAGGGGAAAATAGGGGGGAAAGAGGGGACATGTTTTTGATAAATTGTTATGTTGAAATTCTTAATAAAAAATATTTTTTTAAAAAAGAGAGATGAAACCATTTCACCCCCTGCAATTTTTCTAAGGACTGAGGGCTGTCGGAAGGGAGGAAGGGCAAAGAGCTCCCCCCCTCCGCAAAATCTCTTTCTTTAAAAAAAAAAAGTTTTCTGTTTGTTTGTTTTTAATTTTTATTTCTACTTTTCAGGTTTATACATTTCCTGAATTTTACAATCATTTCGACATTCCAAAAACTTGACTTCCTTCCCCCTCTTTCTGTGGTTCTTTTTTCATATGTATCTTCTGCATATCCAGATTCATTTAATTTGCTCACTCGATTATCTACTTTAAATACATACTCTTGTTAAACAGCAGGTTGTTACAATAATCCTGCTAATGTTTTTATCTGTTTGCAATTGATCTGTAAATATTCAATAAACCATTTCCAATCTTTTGTAAAAAGTTTGTTATCTTGATTTCTTATTCTTCTGGTAAAGGTAAAGGTAAAGGGATCCCTGACCGTTAGGTCCAGTCGTGGATGACTCTGGGGTTGTGATGCTCATCTCGCTTTATTGGCCAAGGGAGCCGGCGTACAGCTTCCGGGTCATGTGGCCAGCATGACTAAGCTGCTTCTGGTAAACCAGAGCAGCGCACGGAAACGCCGTTTACCTTCCCGCCGGAGAGGTACCTATTTATCTACTTGCACTTTGACGTGCTTTCGAACTGCTAGGTTGGCAGGAGCAGGGACCAAGCAACGGGAGCTCACCCTGTCGCGGGGATTCGAACCGGCGACCTTCTGATCAGCAAGCCCTAGGCTCTGTGGTTTAACCCACAGCACCACCCGCGTCCCAATTCTTCTGGCAAGTTTCACCATTTCTGCATATATTCCATACGTTTTTGTATCCATTCTTCCTTTGCTGGAACTTCTGCTTCTTTCCATTTGGGGGCAGGTAACATTCTTGCTGCTGTATTAGCATACATGTATAAGTTCCTATACCGGGGGTCAGCAAGGTTTACCTCGCCTGGGCCGGTTCACTCCAGCGGAGATCCTGCCGTGTGCTGGATCGTGTGTGTGTGTGAGTGAGTGAGTGCGCCCGCAATTTCCGGCATCTGCATCTGCACAGATGTGTTTTTCGGCGCTGTGGAAGCGAGTCCCCACGCCGGTTTTATTAAGTTGTGGGTGGACATATCAGACAACACAGCGATTCTTCAAACAGCTCTTGTTTATTCACAGGCCAGAACAGAACTGAACTGAAGGGTTCAGCCAGCCTGCTTATATAGAGCTCCACTAGAACGCAACAGTAACAACTTTCTGTAACTATCCAATCACTGAACGTCACTTTCAATCCCTTATTTGCATATGTGGACCTGAGTGAACACTATCTACAGTATCCCCCTGCTGGCCCAGGGTGAGAACTTCAATACATAACAGGTTTAGCGCTGCGCGTGGGAACTCTGTGAGTGGGCGCCTCAGTTCGGGGGCAGCTTGGGAGCCAGTTAAATGACCCCCATGGACTGCTTGTGGCTCATGGGCCTTAGTTGCCAACCCCTGTTCTATACAATTTAGATAGTTCTGTCCCTATACAGTGGACACTTGGGTTGTGAACGTGATCCGTGCGGGAAGCACGTTCATAGCCTGCAGCGTTCGCAACCAGCACCAGCGCGTCTGTGTACGTGTGAGTTGCGATTCGGCACTTCTTTTCTATTTTAAAAAACTTTTTAAATTCAAAATTAGAACAAAACATTATCCAGAAACATATCATCCTTATATTCCCCCCCCATTTTTTCTCCCTCCCCCCACCCTCAAACAAAAGCCACCCGCCCCCACCCACAGACTTCCCTCAGTTCCAGTCTTTGGTTTCTCTAAGAATGCTGTTTTCTGCATGCTACAAAGCTGTATAGATCCTCAAAACTATTTAGCTGATTATTATCAATAAAAAGTTTGTGAATGTTTATTCAAAACCTGCCAAGGAGTCCAATTCGCTTTGTTGTGTCTTCACATACTTTGTAAAGGGTTCCCATTCATCTTTAAAGTCACAGTTATCCTTGTCCCGTGGCTTATATGTCAGTTTTGCCAGTTCTGCATAGTTCATCAGTTTTTGTTGCCATGATTCTTTAGTTGGGGTTTCTTCAGTGTTCCATCCTTGTGCAATTAAAACTCTTGCGGCCGTTGTCGCATGCATGAAGATGTTTTTCAGCTTTTTTGGCAGATCTTTCCCTACAATCCCTAACAAAAATGCTTCAGGTTTTTTAACAAATGTTAAATGGAACATTTTCTTCAATTCGTTGTATATCATTTCCCATTTTAATTACATTACAATCCCACCACATACGATAAAATGTCCCCTCCTTTTCCTTATACTTCCAACGTTTATTTGAACGATTTAGCGCTTCTGTGCATGCACGACCTATGAAACCCAGAAGTAACCCGGAGCGTCCGTAACCTGAAAAAACGCAACCTGAAGCATCTGTAACCTGAGATATGACTGTAATTCCCCAAAGGAAAGCTTCTGGTTTCTTTACAAAGGTTATTTAAACACCCTCCACAAAATCTTCCACACTTACCGTGGCAGGGAAATAGTCCTTCATGTATCTCCAGGCTGCCCAGTTCCGAATGAAGTGGATTCTCCTCCCGCTTTTGGTTGGCGTGTGCCAATCGCAGGCCCACCAGGCCGCGTACAGAGCGCTGATCAGCCAGAAGCGGGTGAAGAAGAGGCCGACGAAGATCGCGATGCAGCATTGCGCTACGAAAGGAAAGCACGTTGGTCAGGAGGAGGAAAGGGTGTCCTCAGAACAGGGCCCAGGCAGGAGGGCGTTTACCCCAGGAAGATGAAGGTAGTTATATTCAGCAGGGATTTTATATACATCCTAATAATAATAATAATAATTTATTTATACCCCGCCCATGTGGCTGGGTTTCCCCAGCCACTCCGGGTGGCTCCCAACAATATTAAAAACACAATCAAACATCAAACATTAAAAACTTCCCTAAACAGGGTTGCCTTCAGATGTCTTCTAAAAGTTAGATACAGTGGTACCGCAGGTTAAGTACTTAATTCGTTCCGGAGGTTCGTACTTAACCTGAAACTGTTCTTAACCTGAAGCACTACTTTAGCTAATGGGGCCTCCTGCTGCTGCTGTGCCGCCGGAGCACGATTTCTGTTCTCATCCTGAAGCAAAGTTCTTATCCTGAAGCACTATTTCTGGGTTAGCGGAGTCTGTAACCTGAAGCATATGTAACCTGACGTACCACTGTAGTTGCTTATTTCCTTGACATCTGATGGGAGGGCATTCCACAGGGTGGGTGCCACCACCAAGAAGGCCCTCTGCCTGGTTCCCTGTAGCCTCGCTTCTTGCAGTGAGGGAACCACCAGAAGGCCCTCAGAGCTGGACTTCAGTGTCCGGGCTGAACGATGGGGGTGGAGACACTCCTTCAGGTATACTGGTCTGAGGCCGTTTAGGGCTTTTAAGGTCAGCACCAACACCAAAAACATGGGGAGTCAAAGTGGGAAACTCCTTGCAAGCAAAGGAACTAGCTTTGAACAGGGAAGTTTGGTTCTCCTTCCCAGTTGGCAAATGCAGATGGTCATTGTCCAAGAAATAAAGTTGTCTTTTTGTGGTAATTGGTTTGTTTCCCATCCTGTTTTTGAACAGGTATAGTATAGTCCTGGAACCTAGTTGCCCCTGGTGGTTGTGGAAAAAATAATGGCATATTTCTGAACTTTTCAACAAGCATATTGACTTGATGTTGTTGTAGTAGCTGTTTTTGTTGTAACTGATAACTTGCAAGGTGCAATGCTTGTTGCAGATTTGTTCTATGGCTTGGAAGTAAATTCTTGCTATACCATAATATTTCCTGCATTACAGCCTCCAAAGCAAATCTGTTTGAATTTGTATGAAGGTAAGCAGAACTTTAAAAGCAGAGACATCACGTTGCCAACAAAGGTCCGTATAGTTAAAGCTATGGTTTTCCCAGTAGTGATGTATGGAAGTGAGAGCTGGACCATAAAGAAGGCTGATCGCTGAAGAATGGATGCTTTTGAATTCTGGTGCTGGAGGAGACTCTTGAGAGTCCCATGGACTGCAAGAAGATCAAACGTATCCATTCTGAAGGAAATCAGCCCTGAGTGCTCACTGGAAGGACAGGTCCTGAAGCTGAGGCTCCAATACTTTGGCCACCTCATGAGAAGAGAAGACTCCCTGGAAAAGACCCTGATGTTGGGAAAGACGGAGGGCACAAGGAGAAGGGGACAACAGAGGACGAGATGGTTGGACAGTGTTCTCGAAGCTACCAGCATGAGTCTGACCAAACTGCGGGAGGCAGTGGAAGACAGGAGTGCCTGGTGTGCTCTGGTCCATGGGGTCATGAAGAGTCGGACATGACTAAACGACTAAACAACAACAACAAAAATAGAACTATCAAACTGTGATAAGATAAGATAAGATAAGATTGCTGATCTGTGAAAAGGAAACATGAAAACCTATGCTTTGTATGAATTTGTTCTGAGAACCTAATTGTACTGGAACAGCAGTTAAAATATATGATACCTGAACCAACAAAAAGAAGAAGAAGAAGAAGAAGAAGAAGAAGAAGAAGAAGAAGAAGAAGAAGAAGGAAAGAAATAAAGTTGTCTGAGCTCCTGCAAACAATGTGCAACATCCTGGGGGAAGGAGCTTTGCCACCTTGCAAAACCTGGGTACATCCTTTCAAATCTCCTGATTCTGCTGTTGGAAATGCTGTTGGTGCTGATGATTTGTTAAATTTGTACACTGGCCTATACCCCTAGATCTCAGGTTGGCTCGTAACATTAAAATTATGATATACAACTATGGGTCCTCCTGTTGACTCTTTCCCGGATCCTGCAATATATTAGGGGAAACTCCTGCAAAAGTGTGCACATTAGAAAAAACTGCACACAAAAGACATGCACCGAAACGCCGCAACCTTTTCATGGAGTTTTTTCTTTAAAGAATGAAATCACAAACTGCTGCATAAATGTGGAAAACTCAATTTAAGACAGGAGAAACGGGTGACTGACGTTGACACACTTCAGCCATCCCTACTTAATGTTGGGGTGAGCATTACCTTTTGAATTTTAGTTGAGATTCCCGCATTGCAGGGGGTTGGACTAGATGACCCCTGGGTCCCTTCCAACTCTACAATTTTTGATTTTATGAATTTGCTGCCTGTTGTGTTCATGACACAGGAGCTGACCAGCTGCAGGACAATTTATTTATTTATATTTTTTAAAAGATCAGTCTGTTGCAAAACGCCGCCTTCTGTAAGCTGCCTCGTTTTATGATTGTTCGGAGCCCAAAGTACAAGTCGGGAGGAGATACCGTGTCCTTGCCCTTGTCCCAGCTGACTGATGATTAATCGGGATCCGCTGATTCTTGCCAGCCCTTCTGATGCTTGCGAGAATTGTTAGGCAAGACTGGGGGTGAGATTTCTTCCATGGGGCAAGAAGCAGCCCTGCCTTCCAGCTTGCAAAGCTCAGCCCTAACTTGACCCGCTGTTTCCCAGACGTTTTGAGGACAGAGCCCCCTCTAAGTACGCGAGGAGAGCTCTCCGCTGGGTCAGATCATCAAGTGAAGAAGACATGAGTGAAACCGCTCTCCCATTCTTGTTCTCCACTCCTCAGACCTTTGGTCTCCTCCAGATTCCTTGAGCTGGCACCCAACAGATGTTTTGTACTACAGCTCCCTGGCTGGGGCTGATGGGAACTTTAGTCCAAAACATCTGGAGGGCTTTTTCAGACTACTTAAATAATAATAATAATTTATTATTTATACCCCACCCATCTGGCTGGGTTTCCCCAGCCACTCTGGGCGGCTTCCAAAAATACACTAAAATGTCACACATTAAAAACTTCCCTGAACAGGGCTGCCTTCAGATGTCTTCTGAATGTCAGGTAGTTGCTTATCGCTTTGACATCTGGTGGGAGGGCGTTCCACAGGGCGGGTGCCACTACCGAGAAGGCCCTCTGCCTGGTTCCCTGTAGCTTTGCTTCTCACAATGAGGGAACTGCCAGAAGGCCCTCAGCGCTGGACCTCAGCGTCTGGGCAGAACGATGGGGGTGGAGACGCTCCTTCAGGTATAACGCTCCTTCAGGTATACTTAAAGAAATACTCTAGTGCAGGCTTCCTCAAACTCAGTCCTCCAGATGTTTTGAGACTACAATTCCCATCATCCCTGACCACTGGTCCTGCTAGCTAGGGATCATGGGAGTTGTAGGCCGAAAACATCTGGAGGGCCGAGTTTGAAGAAGCCTACTATAGTGCAATGACCTCGCAAGCAGGATTTGAGCTTATGAGCAACAGAAGCAATCAGATTATAATATTGTGGTTATGATGGGATAGAAAACAGGGTGCAGGAGAAGGGGAGAAACAACAATGTTATGGAAAACAGGGCGCGAAGGAGACAAAAATTAATCCGTGGCCTTTCTAAACCACGGGGGATATTGTTTTGTTTGCAATTATGGTGCGTATTTTGGTGTTTTCGTTTTGTAAACCACCCAGTGCACCCTGGATGAAACTGAATGAATAAAAACAAAATGCTTCCTTTGTCCTTTCAACAAAAGGGACATGCATCCTCCTTTTTCCATTTCGTTTCATTTTGCACTGACGGCCGTCCCTTTCGTGAACGTGCTGTTTTGGAATTGCTGTCCTCCTTCGAAAGGGACCACACGGGAGAGGCTGAGGGCAGCGGCCGCCGGTTTTCATGCCAGCGAGGGGCACCCGTGCTTGCCTCACACAGCGAGTCCTCCTGAGTTTCCCTTGTGTAACCACAGCAACGGCTGAGAGTGGCAGAGCCGAGCGGCTGCCACTGAGCCCATCTGCTAACGGGCAGAATGGCTGGCATCAGTCGTGCCGTGGAGAGAGAGAGAGAAAGCGAGAGATATAGAGGCTGAAGCATCAAACAGATCAATTTTCCCAAAGCAGGCGGACAAAGAGGATGTCCCAAGGGAACGAGGCCACATTCACACACACACACCGCACTCACTTCCATTTAACACAGGGCTGGGGAACATTTTCGGAGGTCCGCATTCCTTTCAGAACAACATCCCAAGAGCCATATGCCATTGGAGGGCGGAGACTCAAATGTAATTTTATTATTACAGTCGTACCTTGGATCTGCATAATACAGCGCATGTTTGCAATTTGGTCTCCGGTTCCTCTGCCCCTTTGAAATCCAGCTTGCACTTCTGGGAGTTCTCGGTCCACATACTGCTTAAGCCTGCCTTGTAGAATTTTAAGCATCACCTTGCCAGCGTGTGAAATGAGTGCAATTGTGTGGTAGTTGGAGCATTCTTTGGCAGTGATGTATGGAAGTGAGAGCTGGACCATAAGGAAGGCTGATCGCAGAAGAATTGATGCTTTTGAATTATGGTGATGGAGGAGACTCTGGAGAGTCCCATGGACTGCAAGAAGATCAAACCTATCCAATCTTAAGGAAATCAGCCCTGAGTGCTCACTGGAAGGACAGACCCTGAAGCTGAGGCTCCAGTACTTTGGCCACCTCATGAGAAGAGAAGACTCCCTGGAAAAGACCCTGATGCTGGGAAAGATGGAGGGTACAAGGAGAAGGGGACGACAGAGGACGAGATGGTGGGACAGTGTTCTCGAAGCGACCAGCATGAGTTTGACCAAACTGCAGGAGGCAGTGGAAGACAGAAGTGCCTGGCGTGCTCTGGTCCAGGGGGTCACAAAGAGTCGGACACCACTAAACGACTAAACAACAACAACAACAGCAACCTTGGATCTCAAACGCCTTGGCTCCTGAACAAATCGGCTCCCAAACGTGGAAACCGGAAGTGAGTGTCCCAGTTCTCGAACGTTCTTTTGGAAGCCGAAAGTTTGACGGGGCTTCCATGACTTCCGATTGGCTGCAGGAGCTTTCTGCAGCCAATCAGAAGCCACGATTTGGTTTCTGAACGTTTTGGAAGTTGAACGGACTTCCGGAATGGATTCCGTTCGACTTCCAAGGTAAGACTGTATTATTATTTTACTTGGGTAGAATAGGCAAGTCTGCAGAGACATTTGTCAAACCCTCTCTCTATCCAGGCAAGCAAGAATCATTTCCAGATTTCGAGGACACAGTCCAGACATGTGAAATTCATGGAGGAGAGAGCTAGCAATGGTGGCCAGCCACGATGGTTAGAGATGGCACCTGAGGGACGCGGGTGGTGCTGTGGTCTAAACCACTGAGCCTCTTGGGCTTGCCGATTGGAAGGCTGGCGGTTCAAATCCCCACAACGGAGTGAGCTCCCGTTGCTCTGTCCTAGCTCCTGCCAACCTAGCAGTTCGAAAGCACCCCAGTGCAAGTAGATAAATAGGTACTGCTGCGGCAGGAAGGTTAAACAGTGTTTCCGTACGCTCTGGTTTCCATCACTGTGTTCCGTTGCGCCAGAAGCGGTTTAGTCCTGCTGGCCACATGACCCGGAAAGCCAGCTGTGGACAAACGCTGGCTCCCTAGGCCTGAAAGCGAGATGAGCGCCACAACCCCATAGTCAACTTTGACTGGACTTAACCATCCAGGGGTCCTTTACCTTTTACCTAGATGGCACCTGTCTAATATTCAAGGGGAGGGGAGTTCCAAAGGGCAGGCCACCACACTAAAAGCCTGATTCCTACATTGTGTGGAACGGACCTCCTGATAAGCTGGCATCCGCCGGAGGTCCTCACCTGCAGAGCGCTTGGTTTGGGCATATAAGGGTTGAGACAATTTTCTAAGCATCCTGATCCCAAGCTGTTTGGTGCAGCTGGGCTGAATGGGGTTTGCAAGCTCCAACCATCAGCCGATCGTGCAGGCAAAAAATGCGTTGCCCGGTGTCGTCATGACATCCAGGGATGGGCAGGGGGTGGGACTATCCACCTCTTAAATGTGGCCTGCACAGGGAAGAGAAGGAATGATCTGGTCCACAGCTGGTTCCGCATCCCTAGACATGAACTGTATCACTTTCTTGGGTGGAATATTGCATGGGAGGGGTAATGGCATCATTGGGACCCTAGCAGACCCATGCTTGGGATCACATCGCTGGGCTAGATCCACCTGACCCCATCCGTTGTTTGCTTTGTTTTCTCCCCTGCTGCCTCTTTCCGTTTCCTCCGGAAAACACTCCGTACTCCTACGAGATTCCTAAGCCACTACTTTCCTCTCCCTAACTTGTCGCCTTGGAAACTGCAAGCATCTCCTCTCCCCACCACTCAATATTGGCCAGCGTGAAACATTGCTCTGTTGCACCACAGTGAATGATCTTCCTCTACAATGAGGCATCAGATTCTTAACTTCCAACTGTCTGAGCTCACAGTCAAAAAGTGGTCTGCTGGCCATGTAGGACTGTCATTTTTTCACTTTAGCAGGTGCGCAGTGTGTAGGAATTAAGCAAACGAAGCTTGCCCTCACTCGGGGGATGCCGGTCCATTCGGACCACGAGACACAGCCCTATGAACCTCAGTCTGCCTCCACCTGCCTACTGAGTTTTAACCAGCAGAGGAGATGCCTTCTCCTCCTCCATCATCTCCCCCTCCATCTCTGTCATGGTAGAGAAAACATCAGAGAAGGTTGCTTGATCAGACTGTCTCACCAGAGTGGTGCATGCTTTAGTTATCTCCTGCTTGGACTACTGCAATGCGCTTTGAAGGTGACCTGGAAACTGCAATTAATCCAGAATGCGGCAGCTAGACTGGTGACTGGGGGCAGCCGCCGAGACTACATAACACTGGTCCTAAAAGATCTTCATTGGCTCCCAGTACATTTCCGAGCACAATTCAAAGTGTTGGTGCTGACCTTTAAAGCCCTAAATGGCCTCAGTCCAGTATACCTGAAGGAGTGTCTCCACCCCCATCATCCAGCCCAGACACTGAGGTCCAGCGCCAAGGGCCTTCTGGTGGTTCCCTCACTGCAAGGTTACATGGAACCAGGCAGAGGGCCTTCTCGGTGGTGGCGCCTGCCCTGTGGAACGCCCTCCCATCAGATGTCAAGGAAATAAACAACTATCTGACTTTTAGAAGACATCTGAAGGCAGCCCTGTTTAGGGAAGTTTTTAATGTTTGATGTTTTATCGCTTTATTATTATTATTATTATTATTATTATTATCAATAATATTCTGTTGGGAGCTGCCCAGAGTGGCTAGGGAAACCCAGGCAGATGGGTGGGGTATAAACAACAACAACAGCAACATAATTCATTTCGTTCAGCACCCTGTAGTTTAGCAAACCCGTTTAATGCACTGCAGAAAGGTTTAAGGGAGGGTGGAGACCCTTAATACGAAGGTTTAGCAAACCACTGTGTGAAGCGCCGTCCCCTTCCTTTAAAAGGGGTGGGGACTTTGGGTGGGAGTGGGAGGGCCCTGAATCAGAAAGGGGCGGGGTGAGCTGCGGGGTGGGGATAACCGAGGGGATGGGCAAGGTGTAAAGGAGAGGGGGTTCTGTATGTGACAACAGCAGCCAGAATATTATATGCACAGAAACGGAAAGAAGAGCAGGTTGCAACGAAGGGGGAGTGTGGCTTTTGAAAGCAATGGCTGCGCAGAAACAGCAAAGCTGGCAGTAAAACTGAGAGACAGAAATCAGGAACTTTTTAATAGAAGGATGGAGACCTTTCATGGACTATTAAAAAACAACAGCACCACTGTAGTCAAATGAAATCTCAGGCAGGATTCGAGATGAAAGCGGCGGAAGAAAAACGATAGAATAACGGTAATAGAGAAACCTTTTTGTAAGAGATATATTATAATGCAGTGAAGAAGGTTTGAGTAAAAACACTGCGGGGACGGGAAGTCCATTTATCAAACTATGTAATGATATGAAGATCCTTGTGAAAATGTTTGAAAAAATTAATTAAAAAATGTACTGGGAAAAGGGGTAGCTATGGGGAAGAACAAAGGGGTAGCTGGAGTTGGGGACAGGAACAAGCAGGCGTGGTGGCCCCTAGATCAGAGCTTTCTGTGTGTCACAACACGGTAGCGTATCGGTGTGTCATCACAATCCTCACAGGGCTAGATAGGGGTCAGGTCATGTTGTTCCGATGCCTGATTATCATCTTCCAAAGCAACTACTCTATTCCGAACTTAAAGATGGAAAGCGTAATGCTGGTGGTCAACTAAAGGGGTTTAAAGACTCTCTCAAGGCAAATCTTTAAAAATGTAGCATAAACACCAACAACTGGGAAACAGTGGCCTGCGAGTGCTCCAATTGGAGAACAGCCTTTACCAAAGGTGTCATGGGCTTTGAAGACACTCGAACTCAGGACAAAAGGGAGAAACGTGCTAAGAGGAAGGCACACTTGGCAAACCCTCACCGTGATCAACTCCGGCCCGGAAACCAATGTCCCCACTATGGAAGGACGTGTGGATCCAGAATTGGCCTCCACAGGCACTTACGGACTCACTGTTAAAACCGTGTTTATGGAAGACAATCTTATTTGACTACGAGTGATCACCAAAGAAGAAGAAGATTCTGCCTTGCTCAGACCATACCTGGGGTCCTGTGTCCAGTTTGCTATCACTTTGTCTCAAATTGATGCATGTCTAAAAAAGTGTGCCACTGACGTGAGAAGTTTGGAAATCTCTGTCCTAATTAGAGAAGAAAACCACCTTAGCTTAGGGTGTCTGAGTGCACTGCAAAGCACAGTGCTAATCCTGCCAGGAGCAAAGGCGGGATGAAAACAAATATATATTAAGAACAGTGCTCCTGCAGGCACGCACCACTCTGATCTTCCTGAGGCATCTGTAAATACAGATTAGCACCTAGAAACGCGATACAAATATGTGCCCTGCCTACTAATTCTCTTCGTGTTGGGGGATTTCTCAAGGAGTCAGACCAGTAAGAAACCTACAGATCTTGCTGTTTGCGCACGGCGGCACAGAAAGGCTGCCATGCAAACCGTTGTTGATAAGTCAGGAATACGAACCTCTCCATCTCCTATGGGTGAAGAGAAGTTCATTTAGAGAACTTCATGGGACTCTTTCCAGCAAGATCACTGTCCTGTTCCCACCTGCTGTTGTGATCTAGTCAAGCAAAACGGCTACGGCTGCAGTCCTAACCCCACTTCCCTAGGCAAAACCCACTGAATTCAAGTAGGACTGACTTCTGAGTAGATGTGGTTAGGATCAAACTGGCAGTGTCTCAGAAATATTTAGTAGTTGAAATAAATTAAAGGAATTCTTTAAGAAGATAGTTAAAAAGACTCTTCTTAAAAACCTAAGAACTCCCTTAAAAGAATCAAGTCTTGAAAAAAGTTATACGATCTAAGAAAGTATGTAAAAGAATCCTTCCAAAAGAATTTAAAAATTATAATGGAGCACCAACGGAGTACAGTAGTTTTAGGTATAAGCTTTCATGTACATGCGTCGTGTACGCCACGTCAGATGAGGCTATCTGATGAGAAACAAAACTATAAAGTAGAATGAGTACAGTTGCATTGGGTTAAAATAACAAAGTCCAAGTAAAGACTGTCTGTGTTATCTACATAAATTTAAAATTTGTCCGGTAGCTCCTTAGACACCAGCTAAGTTTGTTCTGTGTATAAGCTTCTGTGTGCTTGCAGACTTCTTCAAATACCTCAGATACGTGTCTAAAAAGTGTGCATGCACACAAAAGCTTATACATAAAACTACTCAGTTGGTCTGTAAGGTGCTACCTTATAATTTTTAAATTCTTTTGGAAGGATTCTTTTAAAGACTTTCTTAGATCATATAACTTTTTTGAAGACTTGATTCTTTTAAGAGAGTTTTTAAGAAGAGTCTTTTTAACTATCTTCTTAAAGAATTGTTATAATTTATTTCAACTACAGCAGACCAACACAGCTACCTGCTTGAATCAAATATTTAGTAGGGTTTTGTTTTCTTTTACCTAGACCCAGGAAACTGAAGACCCACTGGAGAACGGAAGCCGTCTGCAGCCTCCTTTCTAAAGGGATGGAGCGGGGAGCAAATTCGACCTTCATTGCGGCGCGTGGCTTCAAACTGGATGGCAAAGGACTCTCCACGGACGAGCGAAGGAAATGGGAAAGAGCAAAGTCTCTGCTGACGCAGAATTAAAGGAGTGGTTTGCAGGGAGCAATTAACGTGGGAGTGGATTACGCCTATCCCATGGAACGGATCAAGTGTTCCAGTGTGCATTAGGAAACACGGATCAAGTGTTCCTGTGTGCATTGATTTAAGAAAGGTAGCCAAGCCATCGAGCCAATGAGCAGAGAGAGTATCGGCAGAGACCTGTCTAGTCCAGCACGTGGTCTAATCCACTGAGCCTCTTGCGTAGGGGTCAGCAAATTTTTTCAGCCGGGGGCCGGTCTACTGTCCCTCAGAGCTTGTGGTGGACCGGACTAAATTTTTTGGGTGGGGAAATGAACAAATTCCTTTTCCCAGTAGTGATGTATGGAAGTGAGAGCTGGACCCTAAAAAAGGCTGATCGCTGAAAAATTGATGCTTTTGAACTATGGTGCTGGAGGAGACTCTTGAGAGTCCCATGGACTGCAAGAAGATCAAACCGATCCATTCTGAAGGAAATCAGCCCTGAGGGCTCACTGGAAGGACAGATCCTGAAGCTGAGGCTCCAATACTTTGGTCACCTCATGAGAAGAGAAGACTTCCTGGAAAAGGCCCTGATGTTGGGAACGATGGAGGGCACAAGGAGAAGGGGACGACAGAGGACGAGATGGTTGGACAGTGTTCTCGAAGCTACCAGCATGAGTTGGACCAAACTGCGGGAGGCAGTGGAAGACAGGAGTGCCTGGCGTGCTCTGGTCCAGGGGGTCACAAAGAGTCGGACACGACTAAACGACTAAACAACAACAACAACAACCTTGGATCTCAAACTCCTTGGCTCCTGAACAAATCAGCTCCCAGACGATGGAAACCTGGAAGTGACTGTCCCAGTTCTCGAACGTTCTTTTGGAAGCCGAATATCTGACAGGGCTTCCGCGGCTTCCAATTGGCTGCAGGAGCTTCCTGCAGCCAATCAGAAGCCACGCTTTGGTTTCCAAAAGTTTTGGAAATTGAACGGACTTCCGGAATGAATTCCGTTCAACTTCCAAGGTAAGACTGTATTATTATTTTACTTGTGTAGAATAGGCTAGACTGCAGAGACATTTGTCAAACCCTCTCTCTATCCAGGCAAGCAAGAAACATTTCCAAATTTCGAGGACACGGTCCAGACAGGTGAAATTCATGGAGGAGAGAGCTAGCAATGGTGGCCAGCCACGATGGTTAGAGATGGCGCCTGAGGGACGCGGGTGGCGCTGTGGTCTAAACCACTGAGCCTCTTGGGCTTGCCGATTGGAAGGTCGACGGTTCGAATCCCCGCGACAGGGTGAGCTCCCGTTGCTCTGTCCCAGCTCCTGCCAACCTAGCAGTTTGAAAGCACGCCAGTGCAAGTAGATAAATAGGTACCACTGCGGCGGGAAGGTTAACAACGTATCCGTGCGCTCTGGTTTCCGTCATGATGTTCGATTGCGTCAGAAACGGTTTAGTCCTGCTGGCCACATGACCCGGAAAGCCGACTGTGGACAAACGCTGGCTCCCTCGGCCTGAAAGCAAGATGAGTGCTGCAACCACATAGTCGCCTTTGACTGGACTTAAACCATCCTGGGGTCCTTTACCTTTTACCTAGATGGCACCTGTCTAATATTCAAGGGGAGGGGAGTTCCAAAGGGCAGGCTACCACACTAAAACCTGATTCCTACATTGTGTGGAACGGACCTCCTGATAGGCTGGTATCCGCAGGAGGTCCTCACCTGCAGAGCGCTTGGTTTGGGCATATAAGGGGTGAGACAATCTTCTAAGCATCCTGATCCCATGCTGTTTGGGGCAGGTAAAGGCGCAGCTGGGCTGAATGGGGTTTGCAAGTCCCAATGGTCTGCCGATCGCACAGGCAAAAAATGTGTTGCCCGGTGTCATTGTGACATCCAGGGATGGACAGGGGGTGGGACGACGACAACAACAACAACAACAACAACATTTTATTTATACCCCGCCCTCCCCAGCCAGAGCCGGGCTCAGGGCAGCTAACACCAATAAAATTTCAGTAAAAAATAATAAGAAAAAAACAATTTAAAATACAGGTTAAAATGCAATTTAAAATGCAGCCTCATTTTAAAAGTCAAAAACCATAAGGGGAGGGAAACATTATAGTCAGACCGAGTCCAAACCAAAGGCCAGGTGGAACAGCTCTGTCTTGCAGGCCCTGCGGAAAAATGTCAAGTCCCGCAGGGCCCTGGTCTCTTGTGACAGAGCGTTCCACCACGTCGGGGCCAGTACTGAAAAGGCCCTGGCCCTAGTTGAGACCAACCTAACCACCTTGCGACTTGGGACCTCCAAAATGTTGTCATTTGTGGACCTTAAGGTCCTCCGTGGGGCATACCAGGAGGGGCAGTCCCGTAGATACGTGGGTCCTAGACCGCATAGGGTCTAGTTTTGATTAAAAATCAAAACCAGCACCTTAAACCTGACCCTGTACTCCACCGGGAGCCAGTGCAGTTGGTATAGCACCGGGTGAATGTGATCCCGCGGCAAGGACCCAGTAAGGAGTCTCACCGCAGCATTCCGCACCTGCTGGAGTTTCTGGGTCAGTTTCAAGGGCAGCCCCACGTAGAGCGAGTTACAATAATCAAGCCTGGAGGTGACCGTCGCGTGGATCACTGTGGCCAGATCAGGGCCTGCAAAGGGAAGAGAAGGAATGATCTGGTCCACAGCTGGTTCCGCATCCCTAGACATGAACTGTATCACTTTCTTGGGTGGAATATTGCATGGGAGGGGTAATGCCATCATTGGGACCCTAGCAGACCCATGCTTGGGATCACATCGCTGGGCTAGATCCACCTGACCCCATCCATTGTTTGCTTTGTTTTCTCCCCTGCTGCTTCATTCCGTTTCCTCCGGAAAACACTCCGTACTCCTACGAGATTCCTAAGCCACTACTTTCCTCTCCCTAACTTGTCGCCTTGGAAACTGCAAGCATCTCCTCTCCCCACCACTCAATATTGGCCAGCGTGAAACATTGCTCTGTTGCACCACAACGAATGATCTTCCTCTACAATGAGGCATCAGATTCTTAACTTCCAACTGTCTGAGCTCACAGTCAAAAAGTGGTCTGCTTGCCACATAGGACTCTCATTTTTCAGGTGGGGTGGAGTTCACCTTTAGCAGGTGCACAGTGTGTAAAATTTATTCAATCATTCTTTATTATGGTCCAGAGACCCAACAAATCGTTACAAAGCAATGCACAATTCAGACAGCCTACCTCCAGGTTAAACAAGCATGTTGTTCAGAATATAGGGATCATTGGTTCTTGCAACGCCGATAAAAACTTTGCCAGTGCTAATGTTCTAGCATTTGTCCGGTCTTCCAATAGGAACCTGACATAGTGAGCCTCTGATTTTCCCGGGAAAGGTACCAGCAAGGGTAATATCAGTTCAGCCCTGGCTTGCTCATATTTCGCACAGTGCAGCAAAATATGTTTTATAGAATCGATACCTTGAGCACGCAAGCAAAGTCTGTCTTGGTAGGGAACTCCTCTCAACCTGCCATCCAACACTGCAGAAGGAAAGGCGTTTAGTCTGGCTTTGGTGAAAAGCCTTCGATAATTTGGTACTGTCAGGTTTTTAACGTAAGGTGTTAACTTAAAGACATGCCCATATTGTACTCCTACTGCCAGCGGACTACAGACTGCGTGTGTCTCAGTGCTCCGAATGGACCGGCATCCCCCGAGTGAGGGCTGGTTTCGTGTGCTTAAATCCTACACTAGATACTACTCGATCTTATCACTTCTCAGCCTTTTGGCTAAGATCAAGTGTAGTATCAAGTGTAGAATTTAAGTAAATGAAACCAGCCCTCACTTGGGGGATGCCAGTCCATTCGGACCACAAGACACAGCCCTATGAACCTCAGTCTGCTTCTACCCGCTTACTTAGTTTTAACCTGCACAGGAGATGCCCTCCTCCATCATCTCCTCCTCCATCTCTGTCATAATGCCATGGTAGAGAAGACCGCCAGAGTGGTGCATGCCCTGGTTATCTCCCGCTTGGACTACTGCCATGCGCTCTATGTGGGGCTACCTTTGAAGGTGACCTGGAAACTACAACTAATCCAGAATGCGGCAGCTAGACTGGTGACTGGGAGCGGCCACTGACACCATATAACACCCGTCCTGAAAGATCTTCATTGGCTCCCAGTACGTTTCCGAGCACAATTCAAAGTGTTGGTACTGAACTTGAAAGCCCTAAAGGGCCTCGGTCTAGTATATCTGAAGGAGCGTCTCCACCCCCCATCGTTCAGCCCGGACACTGAGGAAAAGGGATAGCAGTAGGGAAGGACAAAGGGGTAGCTGGAGTTGGAGACCGGCCCCTAGTTCAGAGTTTCTGTGTGTCACAACACGTTAGTGTGTCGGTGTGTTGTACAAACGATCCTCACGGGGCTAGATAGGAGTCTGGTCGTGTTGTGCGGATGGCTGATGATCGTCTTCCAAAGCAACTACTCTATTCCGAACTTAAAAATGGAAAGCGTAATGCTGGTGGTTAACAAAAGAGGTTTAAAGACTCTCTCAAGGCAAATCTTTAAAAATGTGACATAAACACCGACAACTCGGAAACACTGGCCTGCGAGTGCTCCAATTGGAGAACAGCCTTGACCAAAGGTGTCATGAGCTTTGAAGACACTCGAACTCAGGACGAAAGGGAGAAACGTGCTAAGAGGAAGGCAGGCTTGGTAAATCCACACCATGATCAACTCCCGCCCGGAAACCTATGTCCCCACTGTGGAAGGACGTGTGGATCCAGAATTGGCCTCCATAGTCACTTGTGGACTCAATGTTAAAACTGTGTTTATGGAAGACAATCTTACTTGGCTACGAGAGATCGCCAAAGAAGAAGTAGTTTAACCTCCGGTTTGCTACTACTGTGTTGCAAAATGATGCGTGTCTAAAAAAGTGTCACTGACATGAGAAGTTTGGAAATCTCTGTCCTAGTTAGAGAAGAAAACCACCTTAGCTTAGGGTGTCTTAGTGCACTGCAAAATACGGTGCTAATCCTGCCAGGAGCAAAAGCGGGATGAAAACAAATATATATTAAGAACAGTGCTACTGCAGGCACCACTCTGATCTTCCTGAGGCATCTGTAAATACAGATTAGCACCTAGGAATGCGATACAAATATGTGCCCTGCCTACTAATTCTCTTCGTGTTGGGGGATTTCTCAAGGAGTCAGACCAGTAAGACACCTACAGATCTTGCTGTTTGCACACGGCGGCACAGAAAGGCTGCCATGCAAACCGTTGTTGATAAGTCAGGAATATGAACCTCTCCATCTCCTATGGGTGAAGAGAAGTTCATTTAGAGAACTTCATGGGACTCTTTCCAGCAAGATCACTGTCCTGTTCCCACCTGCTGTTGTGATCTAGTCAAGCAAAACAGCTACGGCTGCAGTCCTAACCCCACTTCCCTAGGCAAAACCCACTGAATTCAAGTAGGACTGACTTCTGAATAGATGTGGTTAGGCTCAAACTGGCAGTGTCTCAGAAATATTTAGTAGTCGAAATAAATTAAAGGAATTCTTTAAGAAGATAGTTAAAAAGACTCTTCTTAAAAACCTAAGAACTCCCTTAAAAGAATCAAGTCTTCCAAAAAGTTATATGATCTAAGAAAGTCTTTAAAAGAAGACTTTCCAAAAGAATTTAAAAATTATAATGGAGCACCAACTGAGTACTGTAGTTTTAGGTATAAGCTTTCGTGTACATGCAGATACCATCAGATGAGGCTATCTGATGAGAAACAAAACTATAAAGTAGAATGAGTACAGTTGCATTGGGTTAAAATAACAAAGTCCAAGTAAAGACTGTCTGTGTTATCTACATAAATTAAAAAATTGTCCGGTAGCTCCTTAGAGACCAACTAAGTTTGTTCTGTGTATAAGCTTCTGTGTGCTTGCACACTTCTTCAAATACCTCAGATACGTGTCTAAAAAGTGTGCATGCACACGAAAGCTTATACATAAAACTACTCAGTTGGTCTCTAAGGTGCTACCTTATAATTTTTAAATTCTTTTGGAAGGATTCTTTTAAAGACTTTCTTAGATCATATAACTTTTTTGAAGACTTGGTTCTTTTAAAGGAGTTTTTAAGAAGAGTCTTTTTAACTATCTTCTTAAAGAATTCCTTTAATTTATTTCGACTAGAGCAGACCAACACAGCTACCTGCTTGAATCAAATATTTAGTAGGATTTTGTTTTGTTTTACCTAGACCCAGGAAACTGAAGACCCACTGGAGAACGGAAGCCGTCTGGAGCCTCCTTTCTAAAGGGATGGAGCGGGGAGCAAATTCGACCTTCATTGCGGCGCGTGGCTTCAAACTGGATGGCAAAGGACTCTCCACAGACGAGCGAAGGAAATGGGAAAGAGCAAAGTCTCTGCTGATGCAGAATTAAAGGAGTGGTTTGCAGGGAGCAATTAACGTGGGAGTGGATTACGCCTATCCCATGGAACGGATCAAGTGTTCCAGTGTGCATTAGGAAACTTTGATTTAAGAAAGGTAGCGAAGCCCAATGCGCAGAGAGAGTCTTGCAGAGGCCTGTCTTTTCCAGCTAAACCACTGAGCGTCTTGGGCAGGGGGTCAGCAAACTTTTTCATTCAGTCCACTGTCCCTCAGAGCTTGTGGGGGGCAGGACTAAATTTTTTGGGGGGAAATGAACGCATTCCTATGCCCCACAAATAACCCAGAGATGCATTTTAAATAAAAGGACACATTCTACTCATGTAAAAACATGCTGATTCCCGGACTGTCCATGGGCCATATTTAGAAGGCGATTGGGCCGGATCCGGCCCCCAGGCCTTAGTTTGCCTACCCATGCTCTTGGGCTTGCCGATCAGAAGGCCAACCAACCGCCTTAGGGACTTAGCTCTGGATCTGTGTAGGGTTGACTTCTTTGCCTTGTCTTCTCTTGAAGATATCCCTTGAGGCAGCAGGTATATTTAGAAGCAGAGCGGGACACGGGTGGCGCTGTGGGTTAAACCACAGAGCCTAGGGCTTGCCGATCAGAAGGTCGGCGGTTCGGGGGAGCCACCAGGTGGCGCGTTGGAAGATGGCCGACAATAACATCTCTCTGACCCATACGAGGTAATTAAGGGGCTGCTATGGGAAGTATGCAGTCTTCCTCCCCCCCAGGAGACGGGGGGGCGCTGCCTTGCCAGCGGTGTTCACAATGCACCCCCTGATCCGAGAGATGGGGGTGCCGAACACTTGGCACGAGCCCTCGGTGAAGTCAGATCTTCCTGACGCCGATTCCAATTAGCTCGTGCTGGTTAGCTTCAGCTCGGAATTATAATTGGAAACATATGATTGGAATGAAGCTGAAGCACATACATCAAGTAATGTTTGAGGATAAGACTGCTGATTTATGGATCTCTGTAACCGGGAGTGACGGATGGATAAGTAAATCTTCTGATGAATCACCACTAGGAGACTGCATGTTTGGAATGAAGGGGGGGGGGGTGGAGGAAAAAAACTTTTTTTTCCTTTGCACGATGTGATATTAATAACCCTTCACCCCAGATAGAAATAAGATCGTTGCGTTTTTATTAATCACAAGCAGGAATTCAAGAACTGTGTGGGATGGATTATAACAGGAGAGAGGATTGGTGAACGGTGAGAAAGAGGAAAATTTTTATGACGCAGTTAAAAAATGGCGTCTCGCCAAGACAGGCTTGCCGGAGAAAGAAGGACAGGGGGAGGAGAATCAGGATCGTTCGAAAGAGAAGGAATGTTGGAACGCAAGCTTGACCTGACAGAGCCTCTTGACTCATTTGATTTATTTGGCAAGCCTGAGAAAAGTAAAGGACGGACCGAAGATTAATTTTTTATGGAAGCGTTGAACAGAGGCTGTCCCTGAGTGATATGATCTTTGAAGAGTACAAAACCCACACAGAGGATGCCTGTTTTCAATCTGCTTGTGAAAATTATCAGAGATCGCAAAGAAAGGAATATACGATAACAACAAGAAGAAAAAGAAAGTAATAAAGGACTATCTAGACTGAACTGGATAGAACTGTCTAATTAAAGCAGTAATATAAATGATGTTTGGACTCGTTCAGAGTTTTGGACTTGTGTGGAGCTTGATGTATGGGTACCCCCCAAAAAATTTAAAATTTGGCTGTATAATTTGGAACTAATGTGATTTGGATAATGTGATTTGATTGGCCTGTTAATAATTTTTTTTATTTTTTTTTTTAAAGAAGGTCGGCGGTTCGAATCCCCACAACGGGGTGAGCTCCCGTAAATAGGTACCACTCCGGCGGGAAGGTAAACAGCATTTCCGTGCGCTGCTCTGGTTCGCCAGAAGCGGCTTAGTCATGCTGGCCACATGACCCGGAAGCTGTACGCCGGCTCCCTCGGCCAATAAAGCGAGATGAGCGCCGCAAGCCCAGAGTCGGTCACGACTGGACCTAATGGTCAGGGGTCCCTTTACCTTTACCTTTAAACTTCCCTAAACATGTTGCAAGAGTTGCCATGTCTTCCATCCATTAATGAAAGGAGGGGCATAGATTTTCTTTCCAGTGGATCAATATCAGTGGTATTAGATAAGCATGTATAGAATTATGGTGTGGTGTGGTGTGGTGTGTGTGTGTGTGTGTGTGTGTGTGTGTGTATTTATACACTTTTATTTATTTTTCCGTTTGTTTTTCACTTTCTTTTGTTTGAAATGTTTTCAATTAAAAAAAATGTTATTGGAAAGATTTTGCATCTGAATCCTCTAGGTTTTGCCCTGGTGAATTGCTCATATTTTCTCGAACGTAAAGTCCACTGGGCTCTGTGGGACTTGCTTCAGAGGAGGCATAACGCAGAACAGGAGGGATGCCTCCATTTAGGAGACAGTGTAAATCTTCCGGCTCCACATTGCTCCATCCTCCCCGCCAGTCTGTTCAGGGAGTTGTTTGTGGCCCTAACAATCGTCTGAGGCATCTGCAAGGCTTCTATGTTCCCTTAATACAGAAGCAACAAGTACCAACAGGCCTTTTGTTTGTCAGTCCAACAGAAGAGCCTCTTGTATCCGCAGACGGCAGGAGGGTAAAAAAGACTCGTGCAAGACGCATCTCCCGGCAAACGGGGCTTTGTCCGGCTGAAACTCCATCTCTATCAAGGAACAGGAGGAGAAAGTAATGCAGTGCTGTGACCCGTGGCTGCTGGAGGGTGTCTTCTCCCATGTGTGCAGGGTTGCCAACTTCTCAGCTGGCCCTTGCAGCTCTGCACAATTGCAGCACAATTGCTGACAGGTGTGAGGCATTGTCTGCATACAACACCTGTGCTCAGAGACCTGCACTGGTTGCCGATTTTCTTCCATGCCAAGTTCAAGGTGTTACCACCAATTTGATGTGGGTGGCGCTATGGTCTAAACCACTGAGCTTCTTGGGCTTGCCGATCAGAAGGTCGGTGGTTTGAATCCGCACAACGGAGTGAGCTCCCATTGCTCTGTCCCAGCTCCTGCCAACCTAGCAGTTTGAAAGCACGCCAGTACGAGTAGATAAATAGGTACCACTGCAGCGGGAAGGTAAACTGTGTTTCTGTGCATTTTGGTTTCTGTCACAGTGTCCTGTTGTGCCAGAAGTGGTTTAGTCCTACTGGCCGCATGACCCTGAATGCTGTCTGTGGACGAACGCCGGCTCCCTCGGCCTGAAAGCGAGATGAGCGCCACAGTGGCTTTATGCTGCCTTCAGGATCAGCCATAGCTTGCTTCTAAATACAGTGGTACCTTGGTTCTGAAACGCCTTGGTACTCAAATGACTTGGAACCCAAACACTGCAAACCCAGAAGGAAGTGTTCCGGTTTGCAAACTCTTTTCGGAAGCCAAACGTGCTCCGTTCTGAGCGCCACGCTTCCGTTTTGAGTGTTGCGCTGAGGTCTGTCTGTTTCTGCTATTTATTTTGCATTTTCGTGGCTTTTTTGTTTTGTTTTTGTGACTCTGTGGAACCCAGTTCAGCTACTGGTAGATTGAGTGATTGTGTGACTGCAGTACATTCTCTATTGGTTTCATTTTATGGATCAATGGTCTCGTTGGATAGTAAAAATCATGTCAAATTGCCATTTTAGGGGTTGTTTTTAAAACTCTGGAACAGATTACAGTGGTACCTCAGGTTACATACGCTTCAGGTTACATACGTTTCAGGTTACATACGCTTCAGGTTACATACGCTTCAGGTTACATATGCTTCAGATAACAGACTCCGCTAACCCAGAAATAGTGCTTCAGGTTAAGAACTTTGCTTCAGGATGAGAACAGAAATCGTGCTCCGGTGGCGCGGCAGCAGCGGGAGGCCCCATTAGCTAAAGTGGTTCTTCAGGTTAAGAACAGTTTCAGGTTAAGAACGGACCTCCAGAATGAATTAAGTACATAACCAGAGGTACCACTGTAATCCATTTTGCATTACTTTCTATTGGAAAGCGTGCCTTGGTTTTGGAATGCTTTGGTTTTGGAACAGACTTCTAGAACAGACTAAGTTTGAGAACCAAGGGACCACTGTACCACTTGCCTGGGAGCAACAGTGGGCAGGGCTGTGTCTGCTGCTGCTTGGACAGCAGCCTTCCTACAGATATCAATGGGTGGAAGGGCCGTAGCTCAGTGGAAGAGCATCCGCCCTGGAAGCAGAAGGTCTCAGGTTCAATCCCCGGGATCTCCAAGGAGAGCTAGGAGAGACCCCCTGCCAGAAACCATGGAGAGCTGCTGTCAGTAGCTGCCAATGTGCTAGATGGAGCAAGGGTTTGACTCTGTATAATGCAGTTTCTAGGTGAGAGCGGTAAAGGTAAAGGTAAAGGACCCCTGGACAGTGAAGTCAAGTCAAAGGCAACTATGGGGTTCCAGCGCTCTTCTCGCTTTCAGGCTGAGGGATCCGGCGTTTGTCCGCAGACATTTTTCCCGGTCATGTGGCCAGCATGACTAAACCGCTTCTGGCGCAACGGAAACCCGTGGCGGAAATCTGAGTGCACAGAGATGCTGTTTACCTTCCTGCTGCAGTGATACCTATTTATCTACTTGCACTGGCATGTAGTTTAGACAACAGCACCACCCGCGCTTAGGGAAGTTTTTAATGTTTGATGTTTTATCGTGTTTTTAATATTCTGTTGGGGACCGCCCAGAGTGGCTGGGGAAACCCAGCCAGATGGGTGGTGAATAAATCTCATTATCATTATTATCAATGGATTTAATTATTTGACCTGTACCAGAACCAGGGGCAACTCTCAGACCAGCTAGGGAGACAGCTTGCTGTAGTTTTTAGCACTTCCGCAGGTGGCGATAGCAGCCTGGTGACTTACTGTAACAATTGCACGATGAGTTCTGGCACCTATTTCCCCGGGGGGGGGGAGCCCTGGGGGTGCAGCGCAACAGCAGGAGTGGGGGGCCAAGAGGCAGCACCCTCCTATTTCACCTCTGCTCCCTGCCTTGCACACACACACACACACACACACACACACACACACGAAGAAGAAGAAGAGTTTGGATTTGATATCCCGCCTTTCACTCCCCTTCAGGAGTCTCAAAGCGGCTCACATTCTCCTTTCCCTTCCTCCCCCACAACAAACACTCTGTGAGGTGAGTGGGGCTGAGAGACTTCAAAGAAGTGTGACTGGCCCAAGGTCACCCAGCAGCTGCATGTGGAGGAGCGGAGACGCGAACCCGGTTCCCCAGATTATGAGACTACCGCTCTTAACCACTACACCACACTGGCTCTCCATGGCACATCCATGGCAAAGCCTCGCTGCTGCAAGGGCAAGGCCACATGATATAAGGGCAGCTCTTATCTGCTTGGTGGCGCACACAGCTCACACACTCATGTGCCGTTTAGCCACCTAATGCCTTTGCCACCTTTGATGGTCAAAGGCTGATGGCACCTGATCTGGAGCTAAGTCCCTGCTGCCGGGCTTCCTGATAAGATTACGCCTTATCGCAAAGTCTGAAGGTTTGCCGATCCATTGGGTGCCATTCTGCAATGTTCCCTTGGCGCCACGCCCATCACGGGGGCAGGGGAGGTTTTATTTTCCAGCCGAAGGGCCGCATCCTATTGCAGGGAGCATTGTGGGGGCCGCATGCAAGTGGCAGTCAGGGCCAGAGGCAAAATTGGGGGCATCCCCCCCCCATCCAAGAACGAAGAGGCATTGTTCAAGCTAGGCAAAAACACCCAAGGAGACTTCAGAGGAGGGCTTTGGAGGAGGGTGGTGTTGGGTGTGGCCTAAGGAAAGGCCCAAGGGCCGCAGAGACGGGCCTCAAGGGCCGCATTTAGATCCCAGGGGTGTGATTCCCCACCCCTGAGCTAAAGAAACATGGGATCATAAGACAAAGAATCGACCCAGGTTGTCTCATCATTTGAACCCAGCACAACCTTAATTATTTACACACACATGGTTGCTTGGCATCCAAACCACTGAACCTCTTGAGCTAGCTGATCAGAAGGTCGGCGGTTCAAATCCCCATGACGGGGTGAGCTCCCGTTGCTCGGTCCCTGTTCCTGCCAACCTAGCAGTTTGAAAGCACGCCAGTGTAAGCAGATAAATAGGTACCACCGTGGCGGGAAGGATTTTGGCCAGATACCATGTGCCTTGAGCCTAGGAGTCTGCCTGCCGCCCTACAGCTGAGGGGTAGTCGGCAGGCGGACCATTTTGACAGCGGGAAGCCTGCACACGCAAAACCAACAGTGTCTCTCACAGACGTTGGGTACCACACAGCATGTTGTCACACACCCCTTGGAGGTGACACCCGGGGCAGACTGCCCCCACCACACCCACCTTGCTCCGCCACTGCTGACATAGCACACATGGGCTCTAGGAATTCAGCACACATTTTGTCTCTCTTTCGGGATCTGAGTAGGGGGCTGAGATTTGAAGAATGGCAATTTTCGCGGTCTCCGAGTGATAACGCACAGGCAGGTTCAACTAGGGACTTGAGTCAGAAAACAGAGTCTCTCTCTCTCTCTCCCTGGTAAATTGGGAGAGCCGGAACATATGGCGTGCGCGTGTGGCTTCCTTTAATCTGAAAAGCAGCGAAAGTTGTGCTGGCTGTGGCTGGTGGAAGTTGTAGGCTGCGTACAAACCCTGCATTTAAAGCCCGTTCTGTACCTCTGCAAAGAATCTCAGCAACTGAATTTTGTTAAGGGGGCTGGGAATTATATTTAAATGACAGTTCTCAGGATTCTTTGGGGGGGGCATATGATTTATATGTGTGTGGTTTTTAAAGCTTTGATTAAAGTGGTCAATCAAACAATACAAATCAATTCAATAAAAATAATAGCAGCAGAGCTGCCTATTTGGAAAAGACTCAGTATTGGGTGGCTTAAGACTATGACACCTTCGGGTTTAGGGTGGTATAGAAATTAAATAAAATAATAATTGTTATATACTGAAGTTCTCACCCTGGGCCAGCAGGGGGATACTGTAGATAGTTATGCAAATGAAGGATCGAAAGTGACGTTCAGTGATTGGATAGTTTTAGAAAGTTGCAACAGTTACGATTGTTCTGGAGCTCTATATAAGCAGGCTGACTGAGCTCCTCAGTTCAGTTCTGTTCCAGCTTACAAATAAAGAGCTGCTTTGGAGAAATCGCTGTGTCGTTTGATATGTTCGCCCACAACTTAATAATAATAATAATAATAATAATAATAATAATAATAATAATAGGAAAGCATTGCATTGTGAAAAGGGAATCATTGGTGTCTGTATTTGCTGTACATAAGATAAAATCCCACCAAACAGCACAGAATTTTTCAGGGCCCTCCGAGCCTTTGGCAACACATAATTTTTTGTCAGCTACATGTCGACTCCACGTATTTTTATACCAAAGCAAAACAATCAAGTCTTGTCAGGTTTTCCATTTGGGGGCAGTTGAGGTTGTGGCAGCTGCCAGCATCAGTGTCAAGAGCTCCTGAGAGCTGAAACCTTTGCCTTGACCATCCCATAGATTTAGCAGGCAAATTTGCAGTGTCGCTGGAGTATTGTGGTCATTTCCTGACCAAACCATTGTCCAGAATTTTCATTTATTTATTATTAAGACACATGTATTCAAAAGTTACAACACAGCTTTGCCCACTGCCATAATATCACAGAATGATCACTCCAATCCTCAATCACTGTCATGTTGGAACCCAACTAACAATCTGATTTACCAGAAGGAAACTTCTAATATACCAATAGAGGCTGGGGTTAATAAAGTCTGGAGCGTTGCTCTATCAGAACACCTCACATTCACATACCATTCTTCTTCTTCTTCTTCTTCTTCTTCTTCTTCTTCTTCTTCTTCTTCTTCTGTGATCCCTCGTAGCCGAGTAAGATTGTCTTCCATAAACACGGTTTTAACAGTGAGTCCATAAGTGACTGTGGAGGCCAATTCTGGATCCACACGTCCTTCCACAGTGGGGACATTGGTTTCCGGGCGGGAGTTGATCATGGTGAGGGTTTGCCAAGCCTGCCTTCCTCTTGGCACGTTTCTCCCTTGCGTCCTGAGTTCGAGTGTCTTCAAAGCCCATGACACCTTTGGTAAAGGCTGTTCTCCAATTAGAGCACTCGCAGGCCAGTGTTCCCCAGTTGTCAGTGTTTATACTACAATTTTTTTAGATTTGCCTTGAGGCAGTCTTTAAACCTCTTTTGTTGACCACCAGCATTATGAGAAATTACCATATTTTTCGCCCTATAGGGCGCACCAGCCCATAGGGCGCACCTAGTTTTTTTGGGGGGGGGATAAAGAAAAAAAAATATTTCCCTCCCCCCCCAGGCGCGGGGCTGGGGCAGGGGAAGCCCGAGCTTCCCCCGACCCCAGCCCCCAGAACAGGCTGCTATCCGCAAGCCTTCCCTCACCAGCCCCGACAAGCTCTGGGAGTATTTCCCACCTCCCGCAGAAGCTGCGCGCTCTTTAAAGGGGCTGCGCGGCTTCTACTGGCTTTTCTAGGAGATGGGGGAATTCCCCCACCTCCCTGAAAAGCCCGCTGGCTGCCATCCACAAGCCTTGGGTGCCCGGGGGAAGTCACGCCAGGCTCCCGAGGCTTGCGGAGAGCTGTCTGAAGCCCGGGGTGCACTCCCCGGGTTTCGGGCTGCAGGCTGCTGTCCGCAAGGCTTGGGAGCCTGGCGGAAAGTCGCGCTGGGCTCCCAAGGCTTGCGGATAGCTTCCTGAAGCCTGGAGAGCGAGAGGAGTCGGTGCGCACCGACCCCTCTCGCTCTCCAGGCTTCAGTGAAAGCCTGCATTCGCCCCATAGGACGCGCACACATTTCCCCTTCATTTTTGGAGGGGGAAAAGTGCGTCCTATAGGGCAAAAAATACGGTAGGAACCGCATAGAGGTAGAAGGAAGTCATCAAATAAATCAGGGAATAAAACCGGAGATTAGGTACAGATAAGAAAGTGAGAGTTGCAGGTAGAAAAATATACGGTCAAGGTAAAAGGCTCTCTTACTGGAATTATGTGTTTAGAATATCATCAGTGATGGTTTGTATTTCTTGGGTAGCTGTGTTTTTGATAATATTTTTCGTTTGTATTTTTGTTTGTCTTTTCTTTCTTTTTCCTTTTCCTTTTTCTTTTTGTGTAAATCTTCTTCTTTTATATAATAGAATAACATGTTTCATTATGTGCAACATTTAATAAAGTTTAATAACAATTTTTAAAAAAAAATAAAATCAAAAATAAATAAATAAAAACTCAGTCAATCAATCCACTCATATTCCCTTAACACAGACAGCGCAAAGAGAAGAGTGTGGCTGCTTTAAATCTTTGGCAGATGATGGTAAAAGATCTGGTGATCTGCCTTCCTTCTCCACTAGGCTAACAAGGGCTTAAAACAGAAAGGAAACAGCTACTCTCTCTTTCTAATGACTGCTGTGTCTCAGCAGGGGAGAAGGGGCCTAGCTGAGTGAAATTGATGATGTCTTCTCAGAATAAGGTGCTTCCCAGCTGTCAGTATTTTGCAAAAGCGAGTCAGCTGCATATCTCCGCTTTTGGTCTACTTGCTTAAAATAGGTTAAAGGGCTCAAATGTCCTAGTAAGGCAAATTCCATTAATAAATAAAATAAAATATGGGACTTCTTCTGGTTTGGAAAGCGATGAGGAAAGGCATTGGACACTGTAGGATGAACGAATGATTACCGTACTTTTCTGTTATAAGACTATTCCCCCCCCTTTAAAAATCATCCTAAAAAGTGGAGGTCATCTTATACATGGGGAGTGCAAATGGTGGACGTTTGATTGGTTGCTGCCACGGCTGTCAGCGGCTATTGTGCATGTTGAACACAGCGAAACCTTGAGACTTTGTGATCTGAAAAATAAATATGAGGTATGTACTTTTGTAGCCCAAGAAAATCTTTAAGAAAAAGAAAAGAAAAAAAATGGTTTGTTTTTTTTAAAAACCCCAATGTTAATCACCACCCCAAACACCCACAAACCTTAAACATTTAATCCACATATGCAATTTCAACCCACTGGTTGTTTCTTCTGTATCTTTTCAAATTCTGCAATTTGGGGAAGGATCATAGCACAGGGGTGGGGTGTTTGCCTTGCAAGCAAAAGTCCCTGTGATCAGACTCAGTATAGGGCAGCCTCCTATGTCCTTAATATCATTCTTAAGATGCCAGTATAAATGTGGCTGCTCTTAATGGCGATGCTGTGGCCTATTTCTCCCATCAGTTAGGAGACACTGGCTCATAACAAAAGGACACTGGTAGCCTTTTGCATTTCCCCCAGACAGATCTCCCCAATTTCTGGTTGGTTCTCCATTCCCTATGAGTGGGTGTAAGATTTGGCAGTTGAGGGAGCACGTACTAAAGGTATAGCTGCCGCATTCTGCATTTGTTGCAGTTCCAGGTCACCTTCAAAGGTAGCCCAAGCAGTCCAAAAGGTAGCCCAAAAGTAGTCCAAGCAGGAGATAACCAGAGCATGCACCACTCTAGTGAGACAGTCTGCGGGCAGATAGGGTCTCAGCCTGTGTACCAGATGGAGCTGGTAAACAGCTGCCCTGGACACAGAATTGACTTAGCGTAGTACGTGCTCCCTCAATTGCCAGGTCTTACACCCATGCTGTGGGTTAAACCACAGAGCCTAGGACTTGCTGATCAGAAGGTCGGTGGTTTGAATCCCCGCGACGGGGTGAGCTCCCGTTGCTCGGTCCCTGCTCCTGCCAACCTAGCAGTTCGAAAGCACGCCAGCACAAGTAGATAAATAGGTACTGCTCTGGCGGGAAGGTAAATGGTGTTTCCGTGCGCTGCTCTGGTTCACCAGAAGCGGCTTAGTCATGTTGCCACATGACCCGGAAGCTGTACGCTGGCTTCCTCGGCCAGTAAAGGGAGATGAGCGCCGCAACCCCAGAGTCAGTCACGACTGGACCTAATGGTCAGGGGTCCCTTTACCTTTACTAATATTTTGTTGGGGGCGACCCAGAGTGGCTGGGGAAGCCCAGCCAGATGGGCAGGGTATAAATAATAAATAATAATAATAATAATAATAATAATAATAATAATAATAATAATTTTGGCAGCAATAAGTAGTTAAGGCAGTGCTGGATCCTTGATATCTTTCCTTCCTTCCCCTGTTGTGGGAAAAGCTTGCAAAGGTTTAAAATCCCACGTCCAGGAATAGATTTCCGCCCTCCCTCCACAAACACACAGCTCTAGAGACTTTGGGATTCTATTTATTTTAAATGCCCCCTGGCACTCCCATAGCCTATGATCTGCCTTTCAGATTTCTAAATGGGCACGCCATGGTAGATTAAAGAGGGGGATTAATTCATTATTCGCCGCTCCTTCGCTCCCTCTGGACTTTCCCTCGCTCTTTCATTTGAGATCTTTTTAAAGGGTGGGTTGCCTGGGGATCTGTCCAAAGATTTTTAGTACTGAAAATTCCTGTCTGGAAAAGAGAATGGCAAGGATTCTGGGGTGCTGTCCAGCACCTTTGCAAGAGAGAGAGAAAGAGAGAGAGAGAGAGAGAGGGAGGGGGAGGGAGGGATTCTTGTGTGTTTGTGTGCTTGTGTGTTTTCAGTTGCCTCTGAAAATGAGAAACCGTGTGCTTCCAAGAGACACTTTGGCAAGTGTGTGTGAAGTCTGAGAGTACACAAGTGGGAACAAACACTGGATGGAAAGCGTAATGCTAGTGGTCAACAAAAGAGGTTTCAAGACTCTCTCAAGGCAAATCTAAAAAAAATGTAGAATAAACACTGACAATTGGGAAACACTGGTCTGCGAGCACTCCGGTTAGAGAACAGCCTTTACCAAAGGCTTTGAAGACACTCGAACTCAGGACGCAAGGGAGAAGCGTGCTAAGAGGAAGGCACACTTGGCAAATCCACACTGTGATCAACTCCCGCCCGGAAACCTATGTCCCCACTGTGGAAGGACGTGTGGATCCAGAATTGGCCTCCACTTCACTTGCGGACTCACTGTTAAACCTGTGTTTATGGAAGACAATCTTACTCGGCTACAAGTGATCGCCAAAGAGAGGAAGAGAAAAGATTCTGAATGTAGTCTGCAGGTTCAATCCCCAGCATGCCCCTTCAATAATAATAATGGTAATAACAATAGTAATAGCAATAATTTTATTATTTATACCCCGCCCATCTGACAGGGTTGCCTGATCTGGGCAGCTTCCAACATATATAAAAACATAATCAAACATGGAAAACCCTGAGTCTCATTGCGCTCAGGTCCCTCATGCGGGTTTCCCGTTGAAGCATCTGCGGAGGCCATTGAGAATGAATAGGACGAGGAGGGCCAGGGGCCTGATCCACCAGGAGCCTCTTTCTAGGTTCCTAACGCTGAAGAGTTTTCTTGGCAGGGATACTGGAGTGGCTTGCCGGTTCCTGCTCCAGGCTCAACATCAAAAAAACGAAGATCATGGCCACTGGGCCCATCACCTCCTGGCAAACAGAAGGGGAAGAAATGGAGGCAGTGAGAGATTTTACTCTCTTGGGCTCCATGATCACTGCCGATGGTGACAGCAGTCACGAAATTACAAGGCGCCTGCTTCTTGGGAGAAAAGCAATGACAAACTTAGACAGCATCTTAAAAAGCAGAGACATCACCTTGCCAACAAAGGTCCGTATAGTTAAAGCTATGGTTTTCCCAGTAGTGATGTATGGAAGTGAGAGCTGGACCATAAAGAAGGCTCATCGCCAAAGAATTGATGCTTTTGAATTCTGGTGCTGGAGGAGCCTCTTGAGAGTCCCATGGACTGCAAGAAGATCAAACCTCTCCATTCTGAAGGAAATCAGCCCTGAGTGCTCACTGGAAGGACAGATCCTGAAGCTGAGGCTCCAAGACTTTGGCCAACTCATGAGAAGAGAAGACTCCCTGGAAAAGACCCTGATGTTGGGAAAGATGGAGGGCACAAGGAGACAGAGGACGAGATGGTTGGACAGTGTTCTCTTAGCTACCAGCATGAGTTTGACCAAACTGCGGGAGGCAGTGGAAGACAGGAGTGCCTGGCGTGCTCTGGTCCAGGGGGTCACGAAGAGTCGGACACGACTAAACGACAACAACAACGCTGAAGAACCCAAGGGCCAGCCTTGCTCCGGACCATCCCGAGCCGGCCATTGCCTGGCGCAGCGCTTTGGAGACGTGGAGCGCTTTTTACGCATCTTGCCAATCGCCTTTCTTCCTTGGGAAGAACGCACGCCTCCCACCCTTGGGGAAAGCCTCCCTCTACTGTCCAGGCCGGGAAGGGTTAAGGGCTGCTTCCTCCCTCCTCCTCCTCCTCCCCCATCTCCCCCTCCCTCCCCGGCGTGCAGTGCGTGCTGACGGAGGCAGGTGATCCGACCGCATCGCCTCCCTCCAGCATCCTTCCCCGCCGGGCGCGCGACTGGGTGCGGTCCGCTCTCCTCTCTGCCGCAGCCGCAACCAGCGCGGCCGTCCTTGCGCCGCTGCCGTCGGATGGCGATGGCCGGAGCCCCGAGGCGCGCGGCTCTTTCTGAAGCCTGACTCGGTGTCTGCAAGCAGTTGAGCCGGAGAGAGAGAGAAAGACAGGCAGACAGACAGAGCGAAAGAAAAGAGGTGGGGCTACAAGGCCGGGTCTCTCCCCCCGCCATCCATCACCCCACCGTCCCCTCTCTCAGCCATGAGGCTCCGAAGGACCCCCCTTTCTCCTCCTCGGGTGGGCGATGCCCTTTGAAAGCAAGCGGGTCTCCAGTCTCCCTTTTGGGGCTTGCCGGCGCCCTCTGCTTTGGATATTGGCAAATCGGATATAGGACAATTTCCTCCCCATCCCTGATCATCATTCTCTTGGGGTCTCCGGACGCTTCAACCCCCTGCCAAAGGGAGAGGCTCCGAATTTGTTTGACCCTCTTTTCTGAATGACTCTAGATTTTTATTATTATTAATTGCTGGGTGTTTGTTTGTCTTACTTAAGTGGGGTTCCACCTCTGATCAAGCTTGGGCGCTTTTGCCAACCGCACTTTGATTTTTTTGTGCAAAATCACGCCTGTAACGTAAGGGGGAGAGAGAGAGAGTTGGGTCGCCACTGAGCTGGTGGCTCCCATTGTCTGTGTGTGTGTGTATCTATCTATATCTGGGGAGGGGGAGGGAGGTGAGCAGGTGCTCCCCAAACGTGGAGGGAGGGGTGGAACTGGACCAGGCTGCCAAGATGGCCTGGCCTTGCATCAGCCGGGCCTGCTGCATCGCCCGCTTCTGGAACCAGCTGGACAAAGCCGACATCGCCGTGCCTTTGGTCTTCACCAAATATTCGGAAGCCACCGAGATCCCGGGGACCCATGTTGTGGTGCATCAGCAGCAGCAGCAGCACCACCTGCCACGCCCATCCTCGGCCATCGAGACCCAGCCCTCTGCCCTTGGCGGGGGTGACCTGGATGCGGTTGCCAGGGCGACCTCTGCAGCTGTGGACCACGCGGCCCCGGGAGGCCATCACAAGCCTGGGCAGCAGCCGAAAGACCCGTCGGCCGACTCGGTGATGCGCCAGGACTACAAGGCTTGGAAGGTGCAGAGACCCGAGCCCAGCTGCAAGCCGAAGAGCGAGTACCAGCCGTCGGACACGCCCTTTGAGAAGGAGAGCCAGTACCAGAAGGATTTCCGCGCCTGGCCCATCCCCAAGAGAGGCGACCATCCCTGGATCCCCAAACCTATGCCCATTCCTGCGGTGGATCTGGACAAAGGCTCCAAGGAGAGGCCTGGGAGCCTGGAGAGGAGGAGGAAGACCCACGTGGCTCCAGAGAAGGAGGAGAGAGGGAAGGAAGAGGAGGCCAACCCCACCAGGCCTGAAGAAGGGAGGGTCAAGAAGACCAAGAAGAAGGTTCTTGTATCTGAGGGTGACCCGATACAGCAGCAACAGCAGGTGGCGGCTGGGTACTCCACGTCGCTCGACACCAGCAAAGGACGGGCGGCCGTGGATGCTCTCAACCGGCAGATCAAGGAGGAAGTCACAGCCCGGGTGAGCACCTCCTCCTACAGGTAAGAAGCCCAGCAGGTTGACCCATACCTGGTAGGACTTCCTGCTTGGTCCAGTCACGCGGTTGGAGGTGGGCCTGACCGCCAGGCGGAGGGAGGGGGCTGGCCGAATTTGTGGGAGATGCTTGCATCTTTGTCGCCAGGAATAATAATAACAATAATTATTATTATTATTTATTTGTACCCCGCCCATCTGGCTGGGTTTCCCCAGCCACCCTGGGCGGCTTCCAGCAAGGATTAAAAATACAGTGGTACCTCAGGTTACATACGCTTCAGGTTACAGACTCTGCTAACCCAGAAATAGTGCTTCAGGTTAAGAACTTTGCTTCAGGATGAGAACAGAAATCGTGCTCAGGCGGCGCGGCAGCAGCAGGAGGCCCCATTAGCTAAAGTGGTGCTTCAGGTTAAGAACAGACCACCGGAACGAATCAAGTACTTAACCTGAGGTACCACTGTACATCCAAATGTCACACATTAAAAACTTCCCTGAACAGGGCTGCCTTCAGATGTCTTCTAAATGTCAGGTAGTTGTTTATCTCTTTGACATCTGACAGGAGGGCGTTCCACAGGGCGGGCACCACCACCGAGAAGGCCCTCTGCCTGGTTCCTTGTAGCTTTGCTTCTCGCAATGTGGGAAGTGCCAAAAGGCCCTCAGAGCTGGACCTCAGCATCCGGGCAGAACGATGGAGGTGGAGATGCTCCTTCAGGTCTACTGGGCACAAACCACAAGGCGGTTCTCCTCCATAAACCACATTGACATGAGGAAAATCAGAAGCTGCCTTATATACCACTGCTCCATCTAGCTCCCTATTGCCTACACTGACCGGCATCAGGCAAGGGAGAATCTCCCAACCCTACCTGGAGGCCCCAAGAATTGAAGCTGGGCCCTTCTGAAAGCAAAGCAGATGTTCTGCACCCCAGCTGCTGGCATCACCAAAGGAGGTCGTTGGTAGGACCTGTGCTGTGCATGCAGAATCTCCCAGGATCCATCCCTGACATTTCCCATTGAGAAGATGCTTGACTACAGGGCTAGGAATGTTCTCCTGGGTATCTCAAGAGCCTCTGCCATTCAGAGTAGACAATATGGAGGCAGGTGGGTCAGTGGTCAGCATATACATGCTTGTGTGAACGGTTCTTTCCTTTTACAGCTTGCATTCAGATTAGTGAAAACCACATAGGAGAAGCCCCTATTGGATTGTTTCCCAGATAAATAACTGCAGGGGCACATTATATATATATATTTCACCCTGGGAGTCAAAATGTTTTTGGCCAATTTTGCGTGCTGTGGGAGATAAACTTCTTTCCTTTTTTCTTCCTCTAACATCAAATGCAACAGATTTCATGGCTTTAGAAATAACAGGTGTCGACTCTAGTTCTGCCTCCAGAGCTGACGATGAAATTCTGTAAGAGGCTCTGAAATTTTGCCGTCCTTGAATTCTCACACGGACGGTACAAAATTTCACACCCGGGACTGAATTTTTGCACCCGGAACCAAGACTTTGACATTTGCTAAGAGAATTCTCTTGGGTGTTCCTAATTCTGCCATCTATAAATCTCTCCCCCCCCAAATTATATGAGGCTACATATATGAACTTTCAGAATTTCATATTTCAAGTTTATTCTGTGCCTTTTAAAACTTCTTATTGCTGTCATCCGTTCAGTTCCTTTCACAGGATTCATATATATTTTAAATCATCATAACCTCCAAGTGGTTTACATGAAATAGGAAACATACTTTAAAATGACTGATAAGCTCAGATGTTAAAAACAAAATGAAACCAGCAAATTTTTTAAAATTAAAAATAGAAACTAAAATTACACATGAAAATACATGTTGAATTGACATGTCTGAGTAGGCATGCTTCAACAAAAAAACCCCCAGTATTAGCAGATCCTGAAAGACACACTGGCCTAATATCACTGGGCAGGGAGTTCCAAAGTATATGCTGTAATGCAGAAGGCTTGATTCCTTGCAAGGCCAGAAAGAAGATTATGTAGCCTTTGTGAAACTACATGTGGTTGGAGAGAGAAAGGGCTGGCAGGCTCAGAAGAACTGAGGCTCAGAAGGCTTTAGGATTATATCTTTAGCCAAGGGTAGCAGGGTAGCTCTCTGAATCTTGTTGTATTACAGTTCCCATCACTCCTGACCATTGGCCAAGGCTGATGGGACTTGTAGTCCAGCCTCTTCTGGACTTAAGACACTTGACTAAGACGGCAGCCCCACCATATGCTTACCTGGGAGCAACTTGCCTTGAACTGAAGGACGGTTCCTGGGGAGGAGACCTGCGTACGGTTGCAAATCAGCAATCAACAGCTGGCTGTTTTCGGTTATGACCATAGCTGTCAACCTTCCCGTTTTTTGCGGGAAATTCCCTTATTCCAGCGCTGCTTCCTGCTGCTATCCTGGATTGTTAGATATCCCGTAGACTGTCCCCGGGACAGGTGGGGCTGCTGATCCCTTATTTTCAAATCTGAAAGTTGACAGCTATGGTTGTGACCCACCCGTGTCTTAATCTTTGAATGCTAGTGGAATAGTAAGGCTCGGGCGTGGCACCCTCAGTTCTTGGGGGCTGAGCAGGGAATGAATGGGTTGCAAACAGCAGATCAAGGAAACTTATTTCTTGTGTACGATGCTGTTATACAGACAACTTCCTATTTACAGAAGAGTTATATTCCAAGGCGTTGTGCATTTAAATGAAATTATGTGTGTATATTGATATCTAATTTTTCTATTGATCTATACGTTGTTGTTGTTTTATTAAAGGATCATTTTTTATTAAAGGATCCTTTATTAAAGGATTTATTAAAGGGTACATGCAACATCTCTGTTTTTAATAATAATAATAATAATAATAATAATAATAATAATAATAATTTGTTATTTATACCCCGCCCATCTGGCTAGGTTTCCCCAGCAGCTCTGGGCGGCTTCCAGCAAAATATTAAAATACAATAATTCATCAAATATTAAAAGCTTCCCTAAACAGGGCTGCCTTCAGATGTCTTCTAAAAGTCAGACAGTTGTTTGCAGTGGACACTCGGGTTGCGAACATGATCTGTGCGGGATTTACATTCGCAACTAGCAGCATTCACAACCCGCAGCGATACATCTGCACACGCGCGGGTTGCGATTCAGCGCTTCTGTGCATGCGTGACCACCGAAACCTAGAAGTAACCCATTCCAGTACTTCCGGTTTTCGGTGGTCGGTAACCCGAAAAAACGCAACCTGAAGCGGCTATAACCCGAGGTATGACTGTATTTCCTTGACATCTGATGGGAGGGCATTCCACAGGGTGGGTGCCACCACCGAGAAGGCCCTCTGCCTGGTTCCCTGTATGCACAGAGTCCTTTCTCCAGTTACATTCACTGTGTGTCACTGCTTTCATGGACATTGTGAGGTTGGGGGGCAGTGTTAGATTTCTCGGGGGTGGGGGGGACTCGGTGCAAAATGGCTCCTTAAACTAAGGTTAAAAGGTAAAGGTAAAGGGACCCCTGACGATTAGTTCCAGTCATGGCCGACTGGGGTTTTGGCGCTCATCTCGCTTTATTGGTCGAGGGAGCCGGCATACAGTCATGTGGCCAGCATGACTAAGCCGCTTCTGGCAAACCAGAGCAGCGCACGGAAACGCCGTTTACCTTCCCGCCGGAGCGGTAGCTATTTATCTACTTGCACTTTGATGTGCTTTTGAACGGCTAGGTTGGCAGGAGCAGGGACCGAGCAACGGGAGCTCACCCCGTCGCGGGGATTCGAACCGCCGACCTTCTGATCGGCAAGTCCTAGGCTCTGTGGATTAAGCCACAGCACCACCTGCGTCCAGTCTGGTTGCCATTTTGGAGGCAAGATGGCTCTAAAGCCTCATTTTTCAAACGATGAACTGACTGTGATCAGGACCTGATTTAGCTTTGATGAGGCCCTAAGTTACTGAAGCTAATGGGGCCCTTTATATGTCCAGCTGTCCTTTGTCAGCAACAAATTGTTGCAGTTTTTGTTGTTGAATATATGCTCTATGGTAATTTATGGACCTAATAGGTATCTCAAGCCATTTGCACATGTTGCCGTGCAACCAGTCCATGCAGAATGGAGGCACCCTGTATATAGAAAGGAGCAAACCAGTGATATTTTAGGGAGCAGGCTAGCAGGTGGTGTCCATGACTTACATCCTAGGAGCCTACACAACACAAAACACTGTTGCTGCATGTAGGTTTTATTTTATTTGTTTTTTATCTTATATTTTGGAAATGTACATCCAGGTTTTTTTCCTTTAAATTTTTTGGGGGGCCCCAAGAGAGTGGGGCCCTGAGCTGTAGCTTGTTTAGCTTATATGCAAACTCGGCGCCGACTGTGTTTGATTCTCAGATGAACATGCCCCCAAAATTTGTTCATAATACCAAAAAAAGGGGTTGTAATCCAAAAATAGTTTGCAAACCGGGACATGCACTTCCGGGTTTGACGTGTTTGTAATCCAAAACGTATGCAAACCAGACTGTTTGTAAACCAAGGTACCACTGTAATATTAGATACATATAGAGGCAGATAGTTGTGAAATGATTGTGAGGTTTCGTAAGTTAACTGTTTATATTTGGACAACTTTTCTGCTGTACTTTATTGGAAGGAGAAAAATAAGCATTTCCTTAATAACAATTTAAACAATTTGTTTAACTAAAACAATAATGTTATAGCCTATGTATCCATGTTTGTTAACTGATGTGGTTAAGCAATTCAAAAAACACACACCTTAGACTGAGTTATAGCACACAGGAAAACTTAAAACTTCTGTAGCTTACTCTTCTTCTTCAAAAAAAGCATCTGTGATAATATCTTGTCGTTAGAAAAAACTCCCCCAAATAATCTTACAGAAACGTCTGGAAGAGCATGACATTGCGAATGTATTAATGGAAAATTTTAAACATTGCATATAATGCCTCATGCTACGTAATTAAAAACAAATCCATATTTCCTGGTGAATAGCCTTTGGACTATAATGTAACTTAAATAGAAAACTATCTTTAGAAAGATTTTTCCCCAAAAAAGCATTTTATTTTTTTAAAATCCAATTTAAATTTTAAAAAATATATCTGATTTTTATTATTTATTTTTTAAAAAATAATTGATTGATTGATTGATTTTTTAAAAAAAATCATTGATTTTTATCCACCCTGACCAGCTTCCAGGCATACCTGCTGCTTTCCAAGAGAGAGAGATGCAAAGCGTGGGGTGGTCGTGGCTGTGTAGACCAGGGGTCAGCAAACTTTTTCAGCAGGGGGCCAGTCCACTGTCCCTCAGACCTTGTGGGGGGCTGGACTATATTTTTTTGGGGGGAGTGAACAAATTCCTATGCCCCACAAATAACCCAGGGATGCATTTTAAATAAAAGCACACATCCTACTCATGTAGAAACACCAGGCAGGCCCCACAAATAACCCAGAGATGCATTTTAAACAAAAGGACACATTCTTCTCATGTAAAAACATGCTGATTCCCGGACCGTCCGCGGGCCAGATTTAGAAAGCGATTGGGCCGGATCTGGCCCCCGGGCCTTAGTTTGCCTACCCATGGTGTAGACGCACCAGCGAAGCCAATCCGGTCCTCCCACCGCCCAAACGTAGTTGCTCCTCTCCTCTTCCTTTCGCCTTTCCCTGTTTCTGTCGCCCTTCTCCTGTGCTTGAAGGCCGGCTATCGTTTAGCAGAGGACCTGGCAAATTCTCTCTCTGCCCTCGTAGGTCAGCACAATGCCGTCCCTGAAAAGCTGGGAAGGCCGTCAAGTCTGGAAAGCAGGAATAGAATCGTAGGTCTTCCAGATGCAGTTATATTTAATTAAAAGGGACGCCGTGAATCATCTTCTGGTTTTCTAAAAAGGCACTGCAGAGAGCTCCTCCCATTGCAATTAGCCGCGACTGTGTGCAAAGAGCCTTTTGGCATCCGTGTTTCCTAAAAAGCACCCACACACCCGCCAGGGAAAACCAGGGCTGATTTTCTGCTGTGTGGGGGGTTTTTTTCGGAGAAATTTCCTTCGGTTTTTCCAAATGGTTTTGCTACATATCTTTAAGAAGTGACGGTACGGTGTGTGCATGTGTGTTTGATGTGTGTATGAGAGAGAGAAAGGTCTTGCTTCTCCTTTCCTTAAAATAATCAAGGATAACCAAAATTGTGTGATAGTGTTGGTGCAGACAGCGCAGTGTTCAGAATGCTTTGCTGTTCTTAGTTTCAGTGAATGGAATCCACATGTAAAAATTAAGTACAGTAATTCTTGTCTGGAAAGGTGGTTGGTCGACCGTGGCTGTAGGAGCAAACATGGCAATGGCTTATTATTTCCCAATATTGTTAATGCATTAAACCATGCGTAGGCAAACTAAGGCCCAGGGGCCGGATCCGGCCCAATTGCCTTCTCAATCCGGCCCGCGGACGGTCCGGGAATCCACATG